GTGTTGGCAAAACGGCGCAAACTCATTGGCTGTCCAAGCTGGTGCAATGTACCGTTGTCTCTGAGGATTGCCGACACATGTCATTTCTGGCCTTGGGTGCGCACAAACACGCCCAGTGGCCCAGTAGGCCAGTGGTAAGCCGTGTCCGTTTCAGCACGCAAGGGCATGCTGGGGCAGTGCGCTCAGCCACCCCATGCAGGGGGTCTCGTGAATCTTTCATTCTTGCTCTCCATCCCGTTCGGAACCAACCACAATCCCTCTCAGCAGGCTCTCTGAAACCCTCGCGGCAGTCTCTCTCTCTCTCTCTCCCTCTCTCTCTCTCTCTCTCTCTCTCTCTCTCTCGCTCTCTCTCTCTCTCTCTCTCTCTCTCTCTCTCTCTCTCTCTAGCTACTACTCTGCGATTCTCGGTGTTCGCGTGAACGAGCCATGGCGATCACCAGTGAGAACAGCACCGATGATGATGACGACGATGCCCTTTACGCCGCGACGGAGATGCGTGAGGCAAAAACATGACTAGATCTTCTAGTCTCCACGCTCTCCCATGAAAAAGAGAAGCAAGCTCCCCTCACTTCAGGTGCATGCACTGCCGAAGCGTCTGACATCTGCCGCGGCGACGATCGGGGTGTGGAGAGTGGAGGTCGAGTGGGTTGACTCCGACGGACGCCCCACTTCTCACTGTTATATCCTGCATGACTCCCCCCTTGAAGGCTACCCCACTGCAGGGACCGATGACCGATGCGTGGACCTGTGCACGGCGATGGCGGAGTCCCTCGTGCATCACTTGGATGAGCGGCTAGACTCTCTCGTCCAAGTGGCCCCATGGACGGCAGGAGCGAACCATGGTCTGCATGGAGCACCTCGAGTCACTGATAACGCTCTTCAGGGCCCATGAGAGCGACGAGATCGTTCCAGGTTCGTGCTGCCTTACGCGCTGTGCATCGCTGACTGTGCTGTTTGCTTGTTGTGTAGCAAGAGAACCTTGGCACCACTTGTGTGCAAAGCCTTGCTTACCTTGATGATTCTCTTGTGCATGCGAACTCCCCGCACAGCAGGTGTCAACAAGCAGAAGGCGTTCAAGGAGCTCCGCTTGTTCTGCTAGGTTCTCGCTGGAGCTCCGAAGTCAGAGAGGAAGTTCTACCCGGGTCTCTCGGCCATGCTGAAGTCTCCCGACTGGGAGGACGCGTACCCCAACCTGGGGAAGCTGTGGGTGGCTGTCGCCGTGCTACCGTTGAGCACAGTCGAGTGCGAGCGGGGGTTCTCGTGTCAGAACGTGATCAAGAGCTGGCTGAGGGGTGTCATCAAGGATGCGCGGCTGTCGGACCTCATGTGCATGGCATTGCTATCGTACGAGTCCGACTGGGAGGAGGTGGTGAAGATCTAGAGGGCGTACAAGAAGCGCAAGCCCTTCACAACAGTGGCATCAGCAAAGAAGCAACCAAGTGCTAAGGGGAAAGAGAAGGTGGAGGAGGATGGTGCTGGCTTTGTGTGGGGGACAGAGACCCCCACCCAGATGTCTATGCGCGATGCTGCTAGTGACGATGATGACATGTGATGTGATGTGTGTGAAGTGTGTGTAAAATGGTCTATGCAGGCAGTACATAGAAGTTCACTTGAACAGTATTATATACATATATTTTAAGTTATTCTATTTGTGAGAACATATCGGTGTTTTTTGAAAACGCACCCTGTTTGATCAGTGTTTTTTTTTTACCAGCCTTGAGAAATCAGTGTTTATCCATAGGCAACCCTGATGATCAGTGTTACACCTCCAAGGGACCCTGAGTGCCCAGGGTCCCCCAAAACGAATCAGAGGCCCTGCCCTGAGTGCTCAGGATCGCCCAAAACGAATCTGAGGCCCTGCCTGCAGCCTGGGCTGCATTCTATGGAACAATGGAAAGGTAGGAGACTGTTGCAATGCTATGTAGTACATCATTGGATTCTGTCCTCTTTCAGTCCCACTGTCCCTCGTCTTCTAGCCACTGTTGTCACTGACCCTTCTTTTGAGTCCACTGCTGCGTCTGCCCTAGTTGCTGAGCTTGTTGAATTTGCTGCCGTCTATCGTCTCAACTACGCCACTGCTCTTGTTGCTGAGTCTGAGTCTGCCTGTCCTCCGTCCGTCGGGGGTGAGAGTGCTCTTGGCACGGACGTCCTTCGGGACAGGCAAGAGGACTTTGAGTGTCTTGCAGCTGTTGTACCTCATCTTGTGGCCATGCTGCTTGCCCCCAAGGGAGACCCGGATGCACCAGACATCCCGACCGGGGGCAGAGGCGATTACAGGTCCCTACTCCTCTCAGTGGCAGACAGCCATGGACGCAGAGATGGCATCCTGGAAGTCTATAGGCACCTACGTCGACGCAGTTCCCCCTTCAGAGGCGAACATAGTCGATGGCATGTGGATTTTCAGGGTGAAGCGGCCGCCTGGTTCTACGCTTGTCTTCAAGGCTCGTTACGTTGCACGAGGCTTCAGTCAGCGACAGGGAGTTGAATTCTTCCAGATCTTCTCCCCTACCCCGAAGATGACCACTCTTCGTGTGTTGCTGCACGTCGCAGCTCAGCGTGACTACGAGCTGCACTCTCTTGACTTCAGCACAGCTTTCCTGCAGGGCAGCCTGCACGAGGAGATCTGGCTGCGCCGCCCACCTGGCTTCACTGGGTCGTTTCCTGCAGGTACCCAGTGGAGCCTCCGGCGGCCAATCTACGGTCTCCGTCAGGCGCCTCGCGAGTGGCACGACACACCGAGGACGACACTTGCGGCTCTTGGTTTTGCTCCTTCGACTGCTGACCCGTCGCTGTTTCTACGCACCGACACTTCGCTGTCGCCGTTCTACGTCCTCGTGTACGTCGACGACTTGGTCTTTGCCACTGCTGACACTGAGGCACTGGCCCTTGTGAAGTCGGAGCTGCTGAAGAGAGACACCTGCATTGACTTGGATGAGCTGCGCAGCTATCTTGGCTTGCATATCACCCGTGACAGAGCACGGCGCACCATCACACTGACTCAGTCACACATGGTGCACCAGGTCCTTCAGCGCTTCGGCTTCCGGTACTCCTCCCCACAATCCACTCCTCTACCTACCGGTCACTCGCTCTTAGCTCCACCTTCGAACGAGTCCGTAGAGCCGAGTGGCCAGTATCCAGAGCTTGTGGGCTGCCTCATGTACTTGATGACCTGCACTCGAACTGACCTTAGCATCCTAGCACACTACGTTGCGCCCGGGAGACATCGACCAGAGCACTGGGAGGCCGCTAAGAGGGTGTTGCGCTACTTGTGCAGTACTTGGCGGTCTACCCGCTCATCTTTTGTTCTCAGTTCCAGTTGTGAGGCTGAGATCCACGCAGGGGCCATGGCTGCATAGGAGTTACGCTGGCTCACCTACCTGCTGACTGGCTTGGGAGAGCGGCCTCATTCTTCTCCAGTTCTGTACGTAGACAACAGGCCATGATTTCCTTATGTCAAGAGCACGGACTCGAGCACAAAACGAAGCATATCGCTGTGCGTTACTTCTTTGCTCGAGAGTTGCAGCAGCGTGGTCAGCTCGTGGCCACTCGGGCCAACACTGTTGATATATTCACCAAGGCACTTCAGTTTGGTGATCATCAGCGTTTCTGTACTGTGTTACGGCTTGTGCCTGTTTTGCCTCACTTGCTCACTACGTGACTTCGCTTGTACTATGATCTATATACATACCTGCATGCTTCCTCCTGCTAGGCTATGATCACTGTACTGTTTGTTCTCGTTTATATAACTCTTCACGTGAACTGGCCTTGTGGCCACTTGCTTTTGTTCGGAATGTGTGGTGACTTCGTGATCCATCATGAGCTTGCTTTGCTTTTCTTGACTGGTCTTGTGTCCACTTCTTCTCCCCCACTTTGCCTATGGGGGTGTGTCAAAACTGTTATAGTGCTTACTTTGTGTAGGTTGTAGTGGGGTCGCCCATAAGGGGTACAACCCAATTAGGGTTAGTACTTGTACCCAACTTCTGTTCAATCCAATCATTCTCGTTCCATAGTTCAGACAGGGTGCAGCAACAGTAGCAGCAAAAGCAGCGGCAGAAAGAAGCAGCAGCTGCAGCAAGTAGCAGCAGCTGGAGAAAGTAAGGGCAGCTACAGCAAGGAGCAGCAGCAGCAAGGAGCAGCAGCTGCAGCAAGTAGCAGCAGCAGCGGCACGTAGGAGAAGGCGCACAGCAGCAGCAGCAGTAGCGCGCGAGCTGGGTGCGTGCAGGCAGGGCGGGTAGCGCTCAGGCTGGGCGCGGGTGGGTAGCGCGCTGGTGCGCTGGTGGGCAGCATTCGCGCGTAACGCAAGAAGCGCGCGGGTAGAAGGAGGGCCGGGCGCAGGGGCTAGCGGGCAGCGCGAGCGGCGCGCTGGGCAGCTGGGGCGCGGGCAGGGGGGTTCACGACAGCGCGACGAAAAACGCACGGGGAGGTGGGGGCGTCGCGACCGTGAAAAAACCGCGCCAGCGCGCTGGCGGTAAGGCAGCGCTAGGCGCTTCGAGTAGGGCAGGGCAGGGAGGCAGCGCTAAGGCGCTTCGATATTGCGGAACGGTGGGCCCTAGTAGGATCGACTTCCTACTCTGAAACCATGTGAGAAACCAACTCGAGGGGAATGATTGACTAAGGTGGGAAATGTGTACAAGTACTAAACCTAATTGGGGCAACAGCCAATGTGTGTGCAGAAAGCTAGGTGGCCGCAGACCCTGAACTCTAAACCCTGGAGCAGAGATCTGAACCACTCATGTGTGCCACTTGGTACATCCCAGCATTAAGGCTCATCAAACGAACGTGTCCCTAGGATTGTTGTTGAAGCACAGCAGTGACCCACTCGAGGAAACAGTCTTCCTGAATAAACTCAGTGATTGCCACGGAGATAGCAGAGCGTCTAGATACACAGCGGAAGCAGCAGCTCCTGTTCCGAGAGACTGGCAGGAGGAAACCCCCAGCCAGACCGTACGCACCCTCAGCAGCACATCTGAGCGCATTTCATCGCATTGCACCGCACAGCATCACAGGTCAATGATCTTGGCGCCATTGCCCAACTTCGACCTAGGGCTGGAGATTCTCTTCTGTCTTCTCGGCCACTGCTGCTCCTCCAACCACTTCCAACCACTCCACGCCACATCAAGCCGCCCCTTCTCCCGTACCTCCGCCAGCCGTTGCTTCGTGGACGCCACCAGCACGTCCCACCTGCCCCGCGACCTTTCCCGCGCCAGCGCCTCGTTCGCTTTGGCCCACATCACGGCCCACCGCCCCTTGGCGCGCTCCTTCTCGATGCGCTCCTTCGCCTTGGCCCACGCCACCTTCACCCGCCCGCGCAATCTCTCCTTCGCCAGCTGCCGGTTCGTCCGCGCGCTCGCCAGCATCACGCGCCCCTTGGCCTGCTCCTCCGCCATCCGCGCCCGTTCACGCGCGCTCGCCACCTGCAACCGCTCCCGCGCCTTCTCCTGCGCCAGGCGCGCGTTCACCTCAGCCTGCGCAACACCGTTTTGCGACTTGAGCGTGCCTTCCGCCTGTGCAAGTCTCTTCCGCGCGTTGGCCCATGCCACCTGCCACTGTCCCTGCGCCCTCGCTTGAGTAAGCCGCTCGTTCGCCCTGGCGCGAGCCACGTCGTACATCCCGCGCACCCTCGCCGCGGTGATCCGCTGCTCCCCCTTCGCCTTCACAAACGCCCACCGCCCCTCCGCTCTCTCTGCCACCACTTTTTCCTTCTCGTGCGCCCGCGCCACTTTAACTTGCCCACGCGCGCGCTCCTTCGCCAGCCACTCGCGCGTCCGCTCCCACATGACCTGCCAGCGCCCGCGCGCGCGGTCTTCCGCCAGCTGCTTCTGCGTCTCCGCCTGCACTACCTGCCGCTGCCCGCGCGCGTCTACCTCCACCAACCGCTGCGTTGCCCTCGAGAATGCCGCGCGCCACTTGTCGGTCAACGCGGGGGGCGCGGACTTGGGGGAAACGATCAGCGCTGTTAAATACAACGGGGATGCGACGTGCGACGCGGGGAGAGGCGGTGGAGAGGTGAGTGGAAGCAGTGAGATAAGCCACTTAGGCTACTCTGTGGCAGACAAGCGCGTGCGACATTATCGAGGCATTGCTAGTGTAGGCATGACTTACCTTTCTTCTCTTGCTCGGTCGCGCCTCGAGTGACCATGCGGCCTGCGTGAAGCAAGAACGAGTTAGCGTCGATTAGTTCGTGCACTCTTTCACAAAGACGGCATGATTGCATCCCTGGCTCAGCTCGCGCTCGCATCGATTATGTTTTTCCCAACTACTATGAACGAGGAATTGTCGAGGGACGGATCACAAGTACCTCGACGCAATGGAACCCGCTTGAAGGAGACATTTGAGATTTGGCGAGCCGGGGACGCCGTTAAACGAAGCGGCATCGACATGCCTGTCTTCGGCAAGCGCACTGCATGCGCCGCCATCGTCGCAGGCTGACGAATACTAGAAATAGCGAAGTCTCAGAGAGGAGCGAGGATCTAACCTACGCGTGGTTACACTTTCCTTCAGTGGTCAAGGCCATTCTGGGAAACATGGGCGTTTTGTATGGGCAAAAATGGCCAGCTATGATGCTGCAGTATGTGCTGTGCAGTAGAATAGTGCCAAATGTAGGATGAGGTGAATGTATCTGAAAGAAGTCCTAGATGGTAGATCAAATGTTTGACAAGCCAGAGTAATGCGGAAGAGCGCAGCAGCACGTGTAGAATGCTGAATCGCGACGCGCCACGCCACCCAGCTTTGCTGAGCTGAAGGAGTCTTTCTGAATCGTGATTCGTTTCCGGTGTGCTTTCTGCCCCGCTGTTCAACATGAGATGTGTGCACAAGAGCTGACGTGGCGCGGCTTGAATTGCTAGAAGCTCGATATTTATGCTGTGCTTGCTCGCACCCTGACACAGATTCTCAGAATGTACCAGCTAAGGCAAAAAAAAAAAACACTGCAGAATACATATATAAGCAAGGACAGATAGGTAGTCACACCGCAACCAAGGAGTTGAGGAACTCTCTAGATAAGTTACATAACCCAGCCACCATGCCCTGTACCTGGGCCCTGGGGAGTATCCTCCATGTAACCTAAACCATGCCCATGACTGTTCTCATGCTCATGCCCATGCACATTATCATGGTGGTGGTGGTGTCCACTTCCCCCCTTGGCCTTCCCACCAGCAGTAGCAGCATCAGGCCTGCTTCTGTGCTCCTTGCCACCACCCCTTCCAGTACCCGATGAGGCAGGCAGTGGAGGCTGGGCAGCTACGAACCTCGCAATCGCCTCGGCTATGTCCCCTGGATGGTCCTCCTGGTTGGGGTGGAAGGACGGAGAGCGAAGGGAGGTGAGAATGATGTGCTGTGCTGTGCATGTGGTCAGTGTCAATGCTGTCAAGGTAGGGCAGAGATCGACAGACTCAAAGAGAGTGAGACCTCAACCACACACCCCGGTTCTACATCAGAGGTGCCTCGTAAAAACACTGCAAGCACACATCTGCGGACCATCTATTGAGGCGCCTCATAAGCAAGGTGCAAGCACGCACCTGGGGCCAGCGTTTGCCCTCATGCAGGTGGAAGTCTGCCAGAGGCCAGTGCGACCGAACCTCCTCGCCCTGCTCCTCTGCCTCCCCAGACCAAAGCAGCTGCCTCGGCACCCGACCCAGCGCCCTCTCTGCATGCCGCTGCACCGTCCGCGCCATGTCATGCGTCAGATTGCCGTGCTGGCGCGCCAGCATGGCAGCGTGGATGCCCCCATGCGCCTGCAGCAGGTACGCGTGGGCCCGTGCCACGTCATCGGCCACGCGAGCGCTGACGCAGCACGAGGCAAGGAGGGCAGCAATGGGGAAGACAGAGCGGGCAGCGAGGGCAGTGAGGTGGGGGTAGCGGAGGAGCCAGGCGGGGGGGAAGGCGGGAGCAAAGGGGTCCTCCATGGGAGTGTCGATGAGCGTTATGCTTCGCACTCGTTGCACGTTGTCCGCCGCCCACAACGTGCCGACCACGCCGCCCGTGTCATGCAGCACCAGGTGCACCGGCTCGGCAATCCCAAGGGCCTCTAGCACCCTGTCTAGGATCCGCGCGAGCTGGTGCACAGGGTAAACTGCTGCTGCACCCTCTTCTTCTGAGGTTATTTTGGTGGATAGCCCTGACCCTGGGAGGTCAAGGGCGAGTGCTCTGAGCCCCCTGTCAGCGAGGAGAGTGATGACGTCACGGTACAGGAACGAGCTGCCGCCCAGCCCATGCAGCAGCACCACCACCTCCTTACTCCGCCCATCCCCCGCTTGCCCCCCACCGCTCCCGCCACCTCCGCCGTCCGCGCCCCATCTCCTCCCTCGACCTGTCCCCCACCCCTCCGTGCGCACAAACACCTCCACCTCCCCCTGCTGCCCGCGCCCACCCGCTCCGCCAGCCACGGCGCCGGGCGCGGCAACTTTGATGGTCTGGCCGCGGTCCAGGTGGGCGCGCACGAGCGGCGGGATGGAGATGAAGTCGCGCCGCCCCGCGTCCTCCAGGAACAGAAACTGCGCCAGGAGAAATATCCCCGCTATAAGCCCCGTGAGGGTGATGAAAACGAGCCAGAAGACGAACACCCCCAGGGGCTGCTGGCGCGGCTTCGTCTGCGGTGCAGCGGGGGGCTCCAGGGCCGCCTTAGGTGGGGATTCAGCCGCAGTCACCTTGCCTTGTCCGTCAGGCTTGCCCTGCGCTTGTGGCTCATCGCTTGCCCTGTAGGCACTCGCTGCCGCTGTAGTTGCCTCCCTTGCTTCTTCTGCTGCTCCTGCTGCTGGGACTTCCCCTTCCACTGTTTGTTCTCGCCTTTCCCCAGCCACCTCACCGCCGCTCTGCTCGTCCTCCGCTCCCTCCGCTGCAGTTTCGCATTCGCTTGCACCGCCCGCCTCATCGCCTGCATCTTCTCCCGCGGTCGCCTCGGCCGCTGGCTGCGAATCCTCCCCAGATCCAGTATCGTCAGTCACCGCGCTCGGCGCGCTATTTACTGCTCCGCGTTCCGCAGTTTCGCGACTGTCCCGCGGGGAATCCGCTTCCGCTGCTGCCCCCCCTGCCTCACTTCCGCCTTCCCCTTTCCCCCGCCTCCTCCGCAGCGTCGACCCCTCGCCCCCGGCCGTTTCACTCGTGCCGACACTGGACGCGTCGTGCCGGCCGCCGTCTGTTTCCGCAACAGCTGACAGCGACGGCGAATGCGGTGACGGCTTGTCGTCAGTGTCGGGTGAGAGCGCGGGATTTGCAGTATTGGACGGCTCGCCAGCTTTCTTCCTGCCTCTTTTAAACAGCGACATCGCGATGGTGCCGGCGCCGACTGCGGCCCACGCGATGGGCAGAGCCATGGCTGAGGCTCGTTTGACGACACGCGAAGAGCCTGGCGACGAGCCGCGCTAGTATCAGCACGCGGGCGGTGTCACTGATCTAATGGTATGGCGTGGTGCTACAATGTGATGGCAGCAATGCTCGTTGTTGTGAAGGGATCTGAATTCTGAACTGAAGTTGTTGTGAGCGGCAGAGAAGAGTTGGGCGGGGTGAGGTGGTTCGGCTGACGCAGATCCCAAGAATATGGGATCTTGGTGCAGTTCAGAACACCACGATATAGTGTAACTATCAGGACATACAAACGTCTTTCACATCACTGAGGGTTAATGCACATTACATACACACAAGGCATAACTAGACGAGGCAAGCAACGCAGGCTGCCCCACAAGCCTTGGGGCGATCGCCGACCCCAAGTTTGCAACTGGAAGATAATAATCACTAGCACCCATTGCAACTCTAAGGTAATAATCACTAGCACCCATTTGCAACTGTTTCATGACAAACTCATGGTTATTAGTCAACTGAGCGTGTCTGGGCATTACGGATGATTTGGAAGAGAGCTGCAGGGGAACGGGAAGTAGGAGCAACGAGAAGTGAGATGAATACGGGATAGAGCACAGAGGAATTGTGGCATGGAGGAGGGAAGCGGGCTGGGAAGCTGATGAGTCAAGATAAAAAAGAAGGCAAGGCATGGGAGGTAAGGAGCAGAAGCGAAGGAGCCCAACTGCGAAGCAGCAACAACGGATACAACACAGAACAGGAGGATAGCTGCATCGTGCTGGCGAAGCTAGTACGGTACTCGTCAAGTCTCCGGAAAACGCACGACACAATCCGTGCAAGTCCAACCCATACCGTAAAAGAATCAGTCCGTGCAAGGCGTACAAGACGCAGTTCATGCAAGGCATACCGGAGCCGACGACAACGAAGACAAAGAAGATGATGACGATGGTGCTGACGGGGTACTTGTCGCCCTTCTTCGCCACTGTCTCCGGCACGCTCCCTCGCCGCGCGATGTTGCCCTGAAACCGCGCGCTCTTGCGCTCCACCACGCGCTTCGACGTCGTCTGGCACGCTCGCGACGAGCGGACGGGGGGCCGAGAAGGAAAGGAGAGTGGAAAAACGAGAGAGGCGAAGGAGAGATGACAGAGGAGGAAGGCAATGAGCGACGAGGGAAGATGACGGAAGAACAAAGTGCGGAGAGCGTGAGAGCGGTCGCAGGAAAACTTACCCGGTTCAGACGAGAAACATGGAGGCCAAGGAGCCGAAACACATTAAGAGAGCGACCAACGACGACAAACGACCTACGACTGCAAGCGACCTACGATAAGTACAAGCGCCAGGCAAACAAGGTGAGGACTACGAACCATGGCTGCGTCAAATTTCAGTATTTACGGTAAGCTGAGCACCGAGCGAGGTCGCCGACCAAAGCGTAAGTGCAAGTGCGTTAGTCGCAGGAATCAAGAAAGTGGAACTGCAATGCTCGCGTTGTGGCTGTCGCACAACCTAAAAAAAAAAGGCTGCTTGTGGAAAGGGTTGTACCATACTTCGAATTCACCCATCGGGAAAGCACGAAACGAAATGTTGCACATACGGTAGAAAGGGGATTCTTTGCGAACTGCTAATATTTCTTACTAAGAATTGTGCAGAAGATAGGTTCTAGAGGTTCTACACAGCCTAGGAGCTACACAGCCCTAGATAGCTTGAAGATTGTACTAGTTCCACGTCCATATCTGACTTATGACAGTACAACAGTCACATATAGATCAGCCACACTACTCTACTACAACTACAGTAGAAAGTGAGAAAGGGGGCTCATTCAACCCCCTTCTCTAACTTCTGGCTTTCAGAAGCCTACACCTGGGGTTTCAACATCCCTCCCCTGCCATGCTCTCCCCTCACTTGAGGGAACTCACCCTCCAACCACAGCACCATTCACCATTTCCCACCACTCTCCACCACCACTCCCCACCACTTTCCACCACCACTTCCAACCACTCTTCACCACTTCCAACCACTCCACCACTTCCAACCACTCTCCACCACCACTTCCAACCACTGTCCACCACCACTTCCAACCACTCTCCACCACCACTTCCAACCACTCTCCACCATCACTTCCAACCACTCTCCACCACCACTTCCAACCACTCTCCACCACCACTTCCAACCACTCTCCACCACCACTTCCAACCACTCTCCACCACCACTTCCAACCACTCTCCATCACCACTTCCAACCACTCTCCACCACCACTTCCAACCACTCTCCACCACCACTTCCAACCACTATCCACCACCATTCCAGAGTGGGGCTGAGGAGCGATTGCAAGACCTGAGCCCTCACCGACGTAGCACGAGGGGAGCCACACCAGACCCCTGGCCGCAGGGTCTGGTGATCGTCCATTATGCCTTAAACGTGCGGCTATTGGAATTCAGACTCAAGGCCTACTTGAGTGGGGTACTTGAGTGTGTCGAGTTGAGGTGCAGATGGGTGCAGTGCAGCAGCTGCGCCCCTCCCCACACGCCTCTGCTCCCACTGGAACCCTGGGGAGCGGGAAGGGAAGGGGGTTGGAGGGGGGGAGTGAGTGAGTGGGGAGTGCGGATGCAGATCCAAACGAGTGGAGAGTGCAAACGAGAGAGCATGCCATGCACGGCTTAGGCTGCTGTAGCACACCCAAGGAAAGGGGGGAGGGGACCTGAATCTCACCATACCGTACCAAGGGACCTGGTTAAAGGTTTGTACCTGTACCTGGGACACCTGATGACCTACACCTTGAAATACCAGGGGGGGGGGCTTGGGTGTGCCAAAGGCAGCTAGAGCGATAAGGAAGGCAAAGAATAAACGAGACAAGCATGCAAAACGACTAAGACAAGCGGGAAAACGGTCAAAGGCAGAGGGAGAGAGACTGATGGAGCGATACTTATCTTTGATGGCTCTGTGACGGATGCTGGGAAGACCAAGGAGACCCACTGCTGCCTCTGCTGCTGCCTCCGCGCCCCACGTCCCTTGACGAGCGTTCGCCAAGCAAAGCGACGGCCGTTCGTTGACGCCAGCAGGGCACTGAGATGGTCAAGGGGAGGAGCGGGGGGAGAGGTGGGGGGAATGGTGGGGGGGGTGGGAATGAAGTTGAGCGCATGCCTGTTGTCCAGTCAGACGCGAAAGCGAAGGCAAGCATGGCTGCTGAAGCACACCCGAGCGGAGGGAAGGGGACCTTTACCTTACCTGACAAAAAAGGGGGGGCTTGGGCGTGCTACGGGGCATGCGAAACGAGCGGGAAGGGCTGGCGGAGTGATACTCATCTGTTGGTCGCTGCGCGCTGGTGGGTGGAGGGAGAGCCAGGTCGACCCGCTGCTGCCTCCCACGCACGTCCCCACAGCAGCTCCCCATGTGCGCCTCCCCGCGACGCCCGCCGAAGGCACGTTTCTTGACGCTAGGCGCGAGCCTGCGGGATAGGGAGGCAGGAAGGCGAAGCGGGGGAAGGATGTGTGATGAGAGGTAAGTCCGCGGAAGAGGAGGGGGAGTGCGGTGGACGCGCATGCAAGCAAGGAGCACTCGCGCAGCACAAGGGGAAGGACGAGCAGCTGCTGTAGCACACCCAAGGTTGGTGGGGGGGAGACCTGTACCTTACCTTACCAAGGATAAGTTTTGTACGTACCTTACCTTACCTTACCTGACCTTAGTCTGTACCTTAAAAAAAGGGGGGGGCTTGAGTATGCTACAGACAGCTACAGCGACGCATGCAAAACGATGGAGCGAAATTAGAGCAAGCGAATGACAAACGGGCAGCGAAAACGGTCTCAGGCATGGACACAGGAATACTTATCTTCCTGACGGGCAGCACATTGACTCGCGGATGCAGCGCGTTGACTCGCGGATGCAGCGCGTTGACTCGCGGATGCAGCGCGTTGACTCGCGGATGTAGCGCGTTGACTCGCGGTTGCAGCGCGTTGACTCGCGTCAGCGTTGAAGCGAGCAGAGAGCAGCAATGAGTAGAGCACGAAGCACCTCCTGGAGCAACGGGGAGGAAGAGCGGAATACAAACGAGTGAAGAGGCACGCGGAAGAGAAGAAGGGAAGCAGCACAGACGAAGCGGACGGACATGCATGCAGGCGAAGGCCATAGGCGAAAAGCAGACGCTGCTGTAGCACACTCAAGAGAGGTTGAGGGGAGGGGATCTGTACCTTATCGTACCAAGGGGAGGATAAAATAATAAGGGGTACCTGATAGTATTGCCTTAAAATAAAAGGGGGGGCTTGAGTGTGCTACAGGCAGCTAGAGCGAGGACAAAACGCTTTCAAAATACAAAACGAAATCAAAGCAGGAATACTCATCTTTCTGTCGGGTAGCGCGTTGACTCGCGGAAGCAGCGCGTTGACTCGCGGAAGCAGCGCGTTGACTCGCGGAAGCAGCGCGTTGACTCGCGGAAGCAGCAGGTTGACCCGCGGAAGCAGCGCGTTGCGTTGTCGAGGCGTTGAAGCGAGCGGAAAGCGGAGAGCCGCGATGAGAACAACGCGAAGCGCCTCCTGGAGCAACGGGGAGGAAGAGCGGAAAGTACAAATGAGTGACGAGGCATGCGGAAGAGAAGGGAAGCAGCACAGACGAAGCGGACGGACATGCCAGTACCGAGTCTCACCTGATTCTCACCTGTACCGGGGGAACACCTGTACCAGCTACACCTGCACCCCTGGAACCTGAACCGGGGGGGGCCTTGGGTGTGCTACAGAGCATCGCGAGCCGGTGGTACTCATCATTGTCGGATCGAAGCCGAAGGCGACCCGCCCAGGCGCGCTGACTCCACGCCGACAGCGTTGACTGCAGGATAGCGTCGCGCGGATCCTGACGTGTTGACTCGCGAAAGCAGGGCGCGCTCGAGTTGTCGTAGCGTTGAAGGAAGCGGAACGAGGAGAGCCGCGATGGGTACAACACGAAGCGCCTCCTGGAACAACGGGGAGGAAGAGCGGAATACAAATGAGTGAAGGGAAGAAGGGAAGCAGCACATGCATGGAAAGCGATGGCAATGAAGGCGAAAACAGAAGACTCAAAGCAGATGCTGCTGTAGCACACCCAAGGAAGGGATACCTGAGTCTTAACCGTACCAAGGCAGAACCTGTACCAAGTCTGACCTGATTCTCACCTCACCTGTACCGGGGAACACCTGTACCAGCTACACCTGGAACCTGAACCGGGGGGGCTTGGGGGTGCTACAGAGCATTGCGAGCAAGGAGAGATCGACGGCGACCAGCCGGTGGTACTCATCAGTAATTGTCGGATCGAAGCCGCAGGCGACATTGACGCGCGTTGACTTCACGCCGTTGACTCCACTCCGAAGCGTTGACTGCAGGACGCATCGCGCGCGGATCTTGACGTGTTGACTCGCGAAAGCAGGGCCGCTGCGTTGTCGCGACGTTGAAGCGAGCGGACAGCGGAGAGCCGCGATGAGTACAACACGACGAGCCTCCTGGAACAACGGGGAGGGCGAGCGGAGTACCAATGAGTGAAGGGAAGAAGGGAAGCAGCACACGCATGGAAAGCGTTGGGAATGAAGACGAAAACCGAAGACGCAAAGCAGAGGCTGCTGTAGCACACCCAAAAATACCTGAGTCTGAACCTTACGAAGGCCGAACCTGTACCAAGTCTGACCTGATTCTCACCTGCACCTGAACCGGGGAACACCCATACCAGCTACACCTGCACCTGGGACATGAACCGGAGGGGATTGGGTGTGCTACTGAGCATGCGAGCAAGGAGAAATCGACGGCGGCCAGCCGGTGATACTCATCATTGATTGTCGGATCGAAGCCTTAGGCGACGCCCACGCGCGTTGACTCCACGCCGACAACGTTGACTGCAGGACGCGTCGCGGATCTTGGCGTGTTTGTCGTTGCAGCGTTGACTGGAGGCGTGTTGAAGTTGCTGGTTGCACGTCTTGAGTCATCTCGGCGGCGACATGGCTCCACTCGTTCATGGCTCGGTGCAAGGTCAGCAACGCTGCTCCAAAGCGGTTGAGTTGCAGTGGTTGTCCCATCGATCGAACGGACTGACGTTTGATTAAATTGTTTGAAAGCAATGCCGAAATGAGGAAGACTGGGAGAATATCAGGAGGCGAGAACGAGGCGAATTGGTTGGGAAATGGTGAATTGGGAAATTGACGGGTGAACGGAGGGGCACGGATCGGGGCTGAATGGGAGGTGAGTGGGGTAAGAACCGAGCCGCGAATGGGGCCAAAGGGAGTGCGCGTGGGTGGTGAAGCATGAAAGAGCTAGGCCTGTTGGCGCCAAGGTGAGGCAGGACCGTTGGGCTAACGATTAGGCAAAAAATCAGATGGAAACACCACATCATTCGTTGAAAGTGGGAACCGCAGTGGCCGAAGCGCATATTGCGAAAATGAGATCCCCGCAACCCGCGCCTTCGCCGCCAAGAGGAGAACGTTTGGCCACACGCACTGGCATGGATCTAAGCACCAGTCTCAGGGACCACCAAACCCTAGCTTCAGCCTGAAAGTGAGGAGTGAGTTCAACCCCCCAGCAGCTGCTGTCAGGTAATTTGGGCCGCTTCAAGCAACTCAGGATTTGTGTTGAGGGGGCTGGTTTCATAAGAGGTTTCCCCTGCAACATTAATATTTTCGAGTCTTTTTTCCCAAGTTCCGTGCAACAAAAGACCCCGAATCAGCACGGACCGCCCAGGGTTCTGCCTGCGCTAATGGCCACCAGTGAAATTTCCGCAAGATGTTCACGAAGTCGTATCTGTTCTGGGCAGTCTTTCCTTATGTGCAGATTCTTGCGTCAGGCAACACAGAACAGATGTTGAGGAGATGCAGAATGACCTACTCACCAGGAGTCGCTCCATTACTGTAAAACACGCTGAAGGATAAAGATTGTGAATTTGATTCCGTGTTTCAGAACCACAAAAGTCAAATTGTTTACTGCACAGCTATACCTTATGAAATGCAGTGCTTATTACAAAGAAATGTTAGCATTCGTTCTTACAAGATACTCTTACCGTAACTATAAAACGAAGCTGCACCCGCGGATCACACTAACATGGCCCTTTTTACCATGAAAGGCCAGACGAAAACCCATCAGAGTGTCCTAGAGATGGTGGTGAACTTCAGATATTCGAAACGAGGGTTTTTATCTATACTTGGGTGAGATCATCTACACCATATCTCCAACTATTCCATATGCATTCAGTGAAGAGAGCAGCATGTAGACAATCCAGAGCAGCATGAAGGCAAAGCAAGAGAGCCAAGCGAGAGGCCTGGGCCCTCCAAGCTCTCCTCCGAGCATGATTCTCCGAAGGAATAAAATCGCCATGCACACGGCAGTTAAGAAAAAAACAATGATGGAGAACCCGAGGCCAGCCGTGCTCACATTGTTTGCTGATCCCAACACAAACTCATTGTAGAGAGTGGTGATGAGCCATGGAATACCCATTCCAGAGAAAACAATAATGCAATTGCTGCCAGGCATAGAGGAAAGCTCAGGTAAAGCGGTGCGTTCAAACAGCAGAAGATATCAAGCCTTTGCTACCTCTGTGGTAATCCACACTCGAATCACCACATTAAGCATTGAGACTGGCATGACAAGCAGCAGCAGTGGGAGAGCGCTGACCTGGCGTTGATGTTGGCGATGGCGGAGTCAGCAGTGGGCAGGTGGTCTGCGGCCACCACACTGGCTATGAGGTCCGGGATGGACGTGCCCGTCGCCAGCAGCGTTATGGATACCACGAACGAGTTCACCCCTGGCAGGGGGAGAGGAGGGAGGAAAAACACGTACATGGGTTCAGGAGAGACGGGCGGCAGCTCTTTGTCTTGTGGACACGCAGAATGAATGCATGTTCATAACTCCTGTATAACCTCATGTATAACTCTTACCGCACCTGTGACGCAGCCGAAGAGCGAGGCAAGCTCGACAACGAGGGCAGCGATGAGGGTGATGACGAGGATGCTGGTGATGAAGGCGGGGTAGCCGTGCAGCGCGTCAGGCGGGGGTATGAGCAGCGCACACAGCGCCTTCCACAGGAAGCACACCGCGTGCACCACCACCCGCCGCACCCTCGCTGCCACCGGCTGGGCTTTATGTGGTGCTGGTTGCTCATGTGAGGGGTGCATCCGTCCTGGTGCTGTGCGATCATTGTAATCCGATGGGTGTAGCTGACGAGGGAGAGGGGGATAGGATGGGATAGGAAAATGGTAAGGAGGAGTGGTGGGCGTTGCAGGCAATGGGGAACAAGAGTAGAATAGAATTTGGAAATAATTAGTACATCTGACCTTATCATTAGTGAAGCTGTACAGGGGAGCTGATGATGACTATGCAGGTGGGGACCATGGCAAAGATACTCGTGGAGAGATCAGGGACATGAACAACATGCCATTACAACACCTATCACATACCATCATGTCAGCATATGCAGTCATTTCAGCACATGCCATCGCGTCAGCACATGCCATCATGTCAGCACATGCCATCATGTCAGCACATGCCATCACAGTCAGTATGTGGCAACACACCATCATGGAGAGCACGATCTGTTGCCTCCACCACATGCCGAACGACACCCCCTTCGTCCCACCGCTGCTGCCATCGCTCCCATGTGAATGCCTAGAAGCAATGAGTTGGGCACGGCTGTCTGGTTGAGGGAGTACTTGGACATCCTCCTGCTGAAACGCTTGCCCAGAGTTGCGCCTCCCCCTCCCCACCTCCTCATCCTCCTCCACATCGTCCCACTCTCTGTCCTCCGCCTGAGACGATAGGCTCTGCCTGCGACTACCTCTCCCCATGCCCCCTTCACCACCACCACCACCACTGCTGCGCCTGCTGCTGCGATCGTGTTCACTGCTCCTCCGCCTCCTCCTGCTCCTGCTTGGAGTGGAAAAATCGCCCAGTGCTGCATGGCCCTCCATAGCAGGACCAGAGGCAACTCCTGGAGATAAATCTCCATGCAGGCCAGATACTGCTGCACCGCTGTCTGCAACGACCCCATGTGCCATATCATTGTCTGTAAAGGAAGCACTTCGTACAGTTGCACTTTGAGCACCCTCCTGCATTGCTGACCTAGCGGCGCCTGCTGTCGCAGCAACGGCTTCGGAGGAAGCAGTGGGAGGTTGGCTGGTGGGTGGTGAGAGCGGCAGGGCTATGAAGGGCCAGCGCTGCTCCTGAGCGTATGCATGCAGCATGAGCAGCGGCAGCTGCAGCACTGTCATCACCGCCTCTGCTATCGTCACCTCGCCTGGCGTCCACACCTGGACAGGAGGAACACCAGGTAAAAACAACAAGAGGAAAGAGAAATACACACAGCATCAGCCTCATTCCATGGATATTTTATGAGTGGCTCACATGACAGCAAAAATCAATTGCAAACTATGAATCTTAAACTTGAGACACATGGTGGCTGTAGCACAACACACAACGATTCCTACGACACATCCCGCTGCCCTCACCTGCAGCACGATGTAGAGCCACACGTAGGCCCAGAGCGACCAGAGGAACTCGACCAGAAAGAGCCCCACGTCTGCAATGCGCTTGACAGTGCCGGCAGGAGGCACGAACACACACACAGCCAGGATGGGGAAGATGTTGAAGGCTGCGCCGCCAATGATCGTGCCTGCTCCCAGGTCTGAATCCAAACAGGCGAAGGAAGAGGAAGAGCACGTGCAAATGAGTTGCGAGTGAACACAAATTCTCGAAAACCTGTACACTTACGGAAGTGCTGGCAACGGGTGCACATAACAGGCAAGAGAGGCCGCCTGGATGACAAGTTAAGAAATGAAGGTGGGAGAGAGGTTTCTGGAAGTTTAGAAGCCATAGACGTAGGGAATCTGAGAGCACGCAAGCTTGAGTCTTTCTTTTTTCTCTCCTGTGTGTCTGTAGCTCGCTCCTCACGTCATGATACGACCTGGATGGAACCACACTCACCCTGTCCGCCGGTCTTGCCCAGTCGCCTGACGGCGTCAATGACTGCGAGGGAGATCTGAGGCGCACACGTGCCCAGCGCCAGCAGCGTGATGTCAGCGATGGCTGGATTCCACATGCACTGCTCCGACTCCACCCACCGACCAGCCACAGGGTCCCTGATAAGAAGAGAAAGAGAAACACGGTAGATATAGAACAAGAGACTTAAGAGCCAACATCAGAACCTCTCTGATATCGACTTCCATTTTAAGACTTGCTGATGCCCAGAATCTTGTTCCGAAACGGGATGGGGGAAGGCTTGTAAACACCTGGATGGTGATAGTAATCTTAAGTGGATAAATGCCAACAGATTGCGCATACATAAACTCTTATCATTGTCTTACGTTAGACTCAGATCATTGAACTTATAAATCTTCTAACCGAACGCACCAGAGTCTCACTTTGCGGGTCTGCTGGACGATGTTTTCCATAGCTTCCATGTATTTGCCTGTGATTGTAGCGAGGCCTATGAAAAGGTAGACCAACGCCAACGTGTACATCGCCGTTCGTACAGTCACATCCCATGCGTTCGCTGCAGGAATGAGGAGATAGCTGCTGCAAGCTGGCTCGTTGGATAGGTAGGCTGGATCGGACGGCCACAGATCCACGAGCACGACGCTCGATTGGTTTGAGACTGAACATGTCCATATCGAGGATGGGGACAAATTCGATACGAGAGCGGTACAGACGTTCGTCAGGGGAGGCCGGAAGGAATAACCGGTGGCCGACAGATCAATGTCAGTGAGAGACGAAGGCGAGGGGACACGGCTCGTCATGGTGTGGGAAGGCGCAGCGCGCTCAGCAACTATACTAAAGAGAAGCTCATAGGAGAAATCAGAGGGTTAACTTGTCAGTGGTGCAAGTGGCTCTACGACATGGGTCAGACCGGCTGTCGCGCGTGTTCAAGAAAAAACATGGGCCGTCCCAAACAAGCTAACCACACCAGTCCGGATTAGTCCTCCGCAAGCGCAGGGGGTGACTATGAGATATGAGATATAACCACAATGGTCCGTGCTCACGAAGAGCCGACAACACGCACTAATCGTCTCGCAAATAAGAAACACAAATCCCAGAGGTGCCTGGAGCCTCCTCCTATTCGCTCATTCGTGGGTTGCTCGGATTTAGGGTGCATTCCTGCGGGGACACTTGTGTCTCAATCCCCGATTTCCCGAGTCGCGCCTGTAAATTTGCCAAATGTTGTGTCACAAACAACCAATGTATCGCGACTCTAGGCGACCAGGCGAGATGTACAGTTGTGCGCATTTGTTTGGGTGACACAAATGACTGTACATCCCTTTTTTCAACCGCTTGGCTGGGGTGTGGTTTCGACGAGCGGGATTTTTTCCCGCACGAAATTGGCATTGCAGGCTGTCCAGGTGCATTGACATTTCGAGACGCGTGCGATTTTTTCACATTGACGAGTCGGATTACAATTCGTCAGCGACGTCAGCGCGTTTCACGCTGACCAATAAAAAATACAGTAATGGTCGCGGAAATGCGACTCGCAATTGGGACACACTACAGTTTATGCTGTTTTTGTGTGTCACAAAGCGATTGAGACATTTGTGTCTCCACAGGAATGCGCCCTTAGTGAGTGTCAGCCGACAATCCCAATGCCTGACAAGGCTCGAAATTTTGCTCGAATTTGGATCAAATTACGCCACAAAAGATGGACAGGTTCGAGGCTGAAGCATTCTTGAGGCTGAACAGGACTTCTGAGAAGTGCAGCACCGCGCGAACAAGTTTCACACGGCTTCATTGCTGCTACAGATGAACTGACAAAACATATAAAGTGACCGGAACAAAGAGCGCGTTCAGCAGGATTCGAACCTGCGCGGGCAGAGCCCAACAGATTTCGAGTCTGTCCCGTTAACCACTCCGGCATGAACGCTTGTTAACGAGTTAACTAAATTTACTGTTATTTATACTTTCTAACGGTTTCCCGATCCGACTGATTTTGTCACAGTTCAATCAGCCATGGCGGACGGTCCAGCAACTCCGGCCGATAATGGCGAATCCACGCAGACCGCTCCCGCTGTCTCCATCCTCGCTCCGTACTCGAAAAGGGTCGTGATCAAAACTATTCTCGGTGCACCAGATGGCGGCTTGTCATTGGTTGGGCAGACGTTAGTGGTAGGAGGATGGGTGAAGACCGGGCGAGAGCAGGGCAAGGGAACCTTCGCCTTCCTAGAGCTCAACGACGGATCGTGCCCCGCCAACCTTCAGGTACCGTCGCACACTGTCGCAGGCCGTCGTTCACCGTCGCTCGCGTGTGTGTTCGTCAGGGACTGGACGATCAACGAGTGGTTATCCTAGCACGTGGTGTGACACGCCGTATCTGGTGTTTTCCGACGTGCTCCGTTGCTCGCGCGATCCAATTCAGTGATTCCTTGATCTGGCCGTCTGCTCTTGTGCCAGTAGACGGGGGTTTTGCATGGACTGTTCAAGCTCCAGGTTTCTATTGATCGTCCCCCTCTCACACGAGGTCGTGATGCTGACGTGGATCTCTTCGTGGCATCGAGCCGTCTCGTCCTGATCCACCACTGTCCCTTCGCAGGTGATCGTGAAGGCTGAGGTGGCGGCGATTGGGGAGCTGGTGGCGACGGGCACGTGCGTGCGCGTGGAGGGCGAGCTGAAGCGCACGCCCGAAGGGACGAAGCAGCTTGTGGAGGTCCACGTCAGCAAGGTGCTCCACGTGGGCCCGTGCGACGCGGGCGTGTACCCCATCGCCAAGACGAAGCTGTCGCTCGAGTACCTGCGATCCGTCATGCACCTGCGACCGCGAACCAACACGGTATGACGCAATGCTGACGTGGCGAGTTGGGCAATGGGGGAGGAGAAATAACAATTATCCTTTTGCAGCTTTCCCTGTACGCCACTTTCTCCCTTCCCCTCTCTTCTTCAAGCCGCTTCGCTCTTCCCTCCTCCCATCCCTTCCCTGTTCTCTCCCTGTCCTCCCGTCCCCGCGTTTCCCCACCCCTCCCGTCCCCGCGCCTCCCTCTCCCCGCGCAGATCGCGGCGGTGGCGCGGATCCGCAACGCGCTGGCCTTCGCGACGCACACCTTCTTTCAGAAGCACGGCTTCCTGTACGTGCACACGCCCATCGTCACCACCAACGACTGCGAAGGCGCTGGCGAAATGTTCCACGTTACCACCCTCATCGCCGAAACCGAGCGCCGCGAAAAGGCCCTCTTGGAGAACCCCCCTCCCACGGACGCTGACGTGGCGGCCGCCAAGGACGCCGTGACAGCAGCGGGCGGCGCGGTGAAGGCTCTCAAGGAAGCCAAGGCGAGCAAGGAGGAGATTAAAGCCGGCGTGGCAGAGCTAACGAAGACTAAGGAGGCTCTAGCGGCGTTGGAAGCGCGGGCTAAGATGCGGCCAGGGCTGCCACGGAAAGGGGAGGACGGCAAGGGGCCGGTGGACTTTGGTGCGGACTTCTTCGCCCGGCAGGCGTTCCTGACGGTGTCGGGGCAGCTGCAGGTGGAGACGTACGCGTGCGCGCTCAGCAGCGTGTACACGTTCGGACCGACTTTCCGCGCTGAGAACTCCCACACGACCCGCCACCTGGCGGAGTTTTGGATGGTTGAGCCCGAGATTGCCTTTGCTGACCTGGAGGTATGTTGTTGCTTTGTTTGCATCTGTGGTAGATCCACTCAATTTGGCCTCGCATTTTGCATTTGCATTGCCGGTGTCGGGTATACTTGTCTTGTGCCTGGTCTTCCTTCCACACAGGCACAGTAATCTCATGGTTTGTTTGTGTGTGTGTGTGTGCTGCCTGTGTCCCATCCCAACCAACCAATGCATCCAGGACGACATGAAATGCGCGGAGGACTATGTGCGATTCCTCTGCCAATGGCTGCTGGACAACTGTCACGACGACATGCGGTTCATGACCAAGATGTTTGACAAGACCGCTCTGGACCGCCTGGCACACGTGGCGTCGTCGCCCTTCGCCCGAGTGACGTACACCGAGGCGATCGAGTTGTTGCAAGAGGCGATCAAGAAGGGGAAGAAGTTTGAGAATGCGGTGGAGTGGGGCATCGATCTTGCCAGCGAACATGAGAGGTGAGACAGGGGGAGAAAGGGGGTTTGCCACGATTAAGGGGGAGGAGGGAGGTGGGTACTACAGCTTAAGGCTGATTTGCAGCAATGTTGTTGTTGCCAGTCACTCTAAGTTCCATATTGTTTTGTATTACCATGGCACATGTTGGCATTGCATGGGCATGGCATGGTATGGCATGGTGCGGCAGGTACCTTGCGGAGACGCATTTCAAGACGCCAGTGATAGTGTACAACTACCCCAAGGAGATCAAGGCGTTCTACATGCGGCTCAATGATGATGGCAAGACTGTGGCAGCCATGGATGTGCTGGTGCCAGGGGTAAGTCATGCTCACTTTAGGGAGAGAAGCTGGTCGGTGGGCTTGCTGCAATACCCTGGCATGCATGGACACATAAGTTTGATTTCTTAAATGGTGTTTTTTTTTATCTGATGTGACCCATTCAATGCCTTTCGACACGTGCTTGTCTTTGCAGGTGGGGGAGTTGATAGGAGGGAGTCAACGGGAGGAGCGCTATGATGTCTTGGTCAAGAGGTATGTGCTTGCTTCCTGTCTTGCGACGTCGGTGATGGTGGCGAATCAAAATCACTCTCTCAGCAGTGCATGCTTTTGGCCAAGCCGCATCATAACTTTCAGTCAAGCCACGGGGCATTGAGTTCCACTTTCAACCATTGTGTTTTCCAGGTTGGAGGAGATGGACTTGCCACGGGAGCTGTACGAGTGGTACCTGGATCTGCGCAAGTACGGGACAGTGCCTCATGCGGGCTTTGGTCTGGGCTTTGAAAGAATGATCCTCTTCGCCACAGGCATTGATAACATTCGGGATGCTATTCCGTTCCCTAGGTATCCAGGCCATGCTGATCTGTGACCATGGGCTCTGCCATCAACGTTCTACATGAGAAAACATATTTTACTATCAACGTTTGCCAACGTTTTACATGTGCACCGATCATGTTCGGTGTGGTAGCGGCGGCGGAAGCACGTTTTGTGCATCTCTGCCGCATGTGTGTTGTGTTGTGTAGCCTCTCCACGTTTGTATGCACGCTGTTACCATGTGTTATTTTGCAAGCTTGATTTGAATGCGTGTGGAGGTGGACAACTCAATCAGGGCAATTTCTCAAGTGAGCTAACATAAGGAACAAGTATAAAAGGTGCCACCAACACGAAGGTAGTGTCTCACATGTGTAGGTTGACAGCAGTTGACTACTTGCTTAGGTTGCCTTGTGAGTTTTGTTCCACAACACGGGTAATCTCAAAACACTCACGCTCCCGCCCACTAAGTAGCATCACCCATTTTCTTCACTACATAATTTGTGCAATTGATTGCATGAAAATTGCAGCAACTTTCTTACTAAAATAGAATAGCATATAGTTATACTGTTAAATTGTTATTTAAGGTATATGTGCATATCATGGTGCTACATTACATCATCGCGTTGTCGTGTCAGAAGATTACCGCGCGAGCGGCGAACTTGCGGGACCACTGTGCTGCAGAGATTCTGAGGATTTTTTTCGTAAAACTCATATTTCGCGAGTCGTACCTTCAGCTAACGAAATGGGTATCCCCGTCGTCAACGCTCTCACAAATTTGCCACCTTCCGCCGACAGTGGCGCCCTGAACACAAGCAGGAGACATGGATCGTCGTTTCTGTGAATCGTTGTTTACCACTCTGAATCCGTCTAGATCCCCTGAAGTTTACCTCTGAACATGGCTTCTTTCACTGATGGTCACCTTCCTTTCTGCAATCCATGCTTAAAGCCCAAGACCTGAATTACAAAAAAAGGAAGGCAAACTGTGCACAGTTTGCCTTCCGAGCCCACAGTTGACTTCCCGAGCCTCTCTGGTTACCAAATGACGCCCCGCAAAACTGCAGAGAGTCGTAAGCCCAAAATTGGTTGGCGAGAGTCCCAACCGCTCCCTCCTGAAGGGAGTAGGGCAAGGCAAGCTGTGTACAGATTGGAAATTGTTGTAATTCAGGTCATGCTCGACCACATAGTAGTCACGTGAAACTCCTAGGTAGAGCAGAAAGCCAATAGAGCTGGAGCCCAATCCACCGGAAAAAAAAAAAAAACACCAAACAGATTCTATGCGATGGCGCCGCTTTTTACTCAGCGTCGTCGTCGAAACCCTGCGCGACCGCGCAAACGACAGTTTGCGGCGCATGCATCTCCTCCCCGAGCTCGATAATAGGTAATCAAACGGTCGATCGCGGTCATTTCCCGCGCATTCGCCCTATGTTTGCCTCAGCTACATTCCCCTCCCGCGCTTCCTAATCGACGTCACACCCTGCCACCCACGCTTTCCCTCGTCGCCGTCGCCGTCCCCTACGCTTCCCCCCACCGTCGCCCTCGCTTCCTCCCGCTGTCGCTCACACTTTACTCCGTCGTTGACCACGCTCCCCCTCCCGTCGCTTTCGCTTCCTCCCACCGTCGCCCTCGCTTCCTCCCACCGTCGCCCTTGCTTCCTCCCACCGTCGCCTTCGCTTCCTCCAACCGTCGCTTTCGCTTCCTCCCACCGTCGCCCTCGCTTCCTCCCACCGTCGCCCTCGCTTCCTCCCACCGTCGCCCTCGCTTCCTCCCACCGTCGCCCTCGCTTCCTCCCACCGTCGCCCTCGCTTCCTCCCACCGTCGCCCTCGCTTCCTCCCACCGTCGCCCTCGCTTCCTCCCACCGTCGCCCTCGCTTCCTCCCACCCTCCCCTACACTCCGCCGTCGTCATCACTTCCCTGCCTATCACGTTCACCCTCTTCGTCACACGTCGCCTCTCTCTCTCCCCCTATTCTACCTTCACCACTCCTACCGTCGTCCATGGTTACCACCCCACACTTGAACCCTTCTCATTCTCTCACATTCTCCCTTCTCCCTTGCTTCTCGCCCACACTAAACGCAGAGATGTATGGCGCCTGGGCGCTGGGTATGGGGTCGTGAATTGTTCGCTGTGGGGTGTGTGAGGGTGCGTGGTGCGAAGGCTAGGGGAGAATGAAAGCTGATGGGGTGCGAGTCGAGGAGCACGCACCCTGCCCCTCACGCTGTGTTACTCACAACCCAATGGCAGCACAGCAAGCTTAGCAACCTCCTCCTCACTCTCGCACCAACCCCGCACACAGCCGGGGAAGCTCGTGCAGGCGAGCAGTGAGGAGCGCTGTGCACAAGGGGGCAAGGGGGTGGGGCAAGGGAGCGGGGGAGGCGTGGCAGGGGAGTGAGGGAGGGGGGAGTGGGGGAGGCGGGGCAGGGGAGTTGGGGAGGGGGGCAGGGGAGTGGGGGAGGGGGGGCTGGAAGCCGTCCCGTCTTCCTCCTCTTCCTCTTATTTGCCTTCTCCTGTCCGTCCTTCCACTCTCCATGCCTCCCTCCTCTCTTTCTCTCTCTTTCCCTCCTTCACTTCTCCTGTCCGCCCGTGCTCCCAGCCTCCCTCCTCCGTACCACTCTCCCACCCACTCTTTCTTTCATCCTCCTGCCTCTCTTCCACCCTGCCACTCTTCTTTTCAGACTGCCACCTTCCGAGCTTCTTTTAGTCCACCTTTCCGTCTCACCCACTTGTCCTCTCCCAACTTGATCCTCACATCCTCCCATCCCCCCTTCTCCCCTTCCACCCTCCAACCCTTGCGCTCATCCTCCCTTCGTCTCACCCTCCTTTTTTCTCATCCTCCCATCCTCCCTCTCTTCCCTCCCCCCTCCCTTCCTCCTGTCCTCCCTTCCTCCCTTCCTTTCTTCCTCTCTTCCACCCTCTGCCCTACTCTCTGCTTCAGTGTCTTTTTCCCCTCTCTTTCCCCTTTCCTCCCTCCCTTCATCTCATCCTCTCTTCCGCCCTTCCTCCTTGTCTCCCTTGCTCATTTCTCCCTCCTCATATTCCCTGTTCCCTGCGTCCCTCGCTGCCATCCTCCCTTCCTCTCAGCCTCCTCACTTCCTCTCGTCAACCATTCCTCCGCACCCTTCTACCCTGCCACGCCTATACACTCCTACCTTGTTCTAGGGGCTTGTTTCTTGTTGCCTGCCTGCCCTTGCATTGTCATTGTTTTGTATCCTTCCCCGCTGCTTCGACTCTTGGCACATTAGATTTTGTGGTTCGTGTTTGTGCAGGTCTGCCATGTATCTAGCTGTGATGCCTTCACTCTTTGATGATAGTGGTATGACAAATAGCCATGCCATGTATGTTGGATGCTTCTCATGATACAACACTTTGGGCCTCGGAGCAGCCATGTACGTGAGCACGACCATGAAATGCAACAAAGCAAGAGTTTTTATTCCTTACAGTTGTCGCCAGTGGACTACAGGCACAATGCACAAATCTGGAAGGTGGTAACTTTCCATCCCACTCCTGTTGGGACCCATGGTGCTGGGCACCTGTACAAGCATGGTTCTGTGATAGAACGGGGAGGGAAGAGTGGGTATGGCGAATAAGCAAGGGCTGGAGGTTGGAGGTACAGAAGGGCATGTATAGCTGTGGAGCGAAAGGCAGTGCGGATGGTGGTGGTGCTCCTGCTGCTCGGGCTGTTGCTGTTGCTCTAGGAGTTACAACTGCTGCTACTTCTGCTGCGCCAGCTGCGCGCCTTTCTCCCTCCCCCTCCTCCTCCTCCTGCTGCCGTGTCAAGAGCGGCTCCCTCAGCACGTCCCCAGCACCGCCAGCACTCGCAGATGCGGGCACATGGGGTCCCTTGCGCGCCGAGTCAGAGGAGGCACCTTGCGCAGAGGGGCGTCGCGAGGAGCAGCGCTGTGACGCTGGTGCCAGGGAGGCTGCCAGACCCACCGGGCTGCGCAGGGCGGACGCACCAGCAGCACCAGCAGCAGCACTGCCTCCGGCACCTGTGCCTGCAGCTGGAGAAACGGGAGCAGCGGCGGCAGCAGGAGCAGCAGTCGCAGCAGTGAGAGTGAGTGCAGGAGGCGGGGGCGAGGCGCCAATGGTGAAGGCAGGAGAGGGCGGGGAGAAGGTGGATTGAGAGAACACCAGCCTGGCCCTTGCAGGCGCCAGCGCGACCGCCGAGTCAGAGGAGGGGGGGATAGAGCCGGGCGGAGGGTTACCCTCCCGTGCTGCTGGAAATCCCCCCCTGCTGCTGACCGCCCATGGGGCTGCTGCTGCCCCCCATGCCTTGCACTGCAAGGAACGCACCCGACGACGCACCACCGGCGCCCATGCTGCTGCTCCCCTCCGTCGCCCAGTACGCTCCCGAGGCACCCTCCATCGCACCACCGCCACCCGTGCCCATGCCCACGAGCAAGGGCATGGCTAGCGCGCCTCCCACTCCCCCTCCCCCTCCCCCTCCGCCTCCTCCTCCGCCTCTCAGCGAGGGAGCTGACGCGGCTGATGTCTGACAGCAGAGAGTCGTAGCTCTCACTCCGCTCCAACACTCCCCGGCCCCCCCCCGCGTGCCCTCCCTCTCCCCCTCCCTCCCCCGCCTGTCCCCCCCCAGACGCGCCTCGTCCTCGGGGAAGCTGCCCAGCATCACTGCCCGCTCCTCCCTCCCCAAGCTCCGTGCGGGGGAAGCGAAGGCTCCGCGCGGGGAAGCGAAGGCTCCGCGCGGGGGAAGCGAAGGCTCCGTGCGGGGGAAGCGAAGGCTCCGCGCAGGGGAAGCGAAGGCTCCGCGCGGGGGGAGCGAAGGCTCCGCGCGGGGGGAGCGAAGGCTCCGCGCGGGGGAAGCGAAGGCGACGCGCGGGGAAATCGAAGGCGACGGGGGGGAGAAGCGAAGGCGACGGGCGGGATAAGAGAAGGCAACGGTCATCCGAAAGCGAAGGCGGCGACGGGCGGGGGAAGCGAAGGCGACGGGATGGGGCCGCGAATGCGATGGGCTGCGGAAGCGAAGGCGACGACGCGGGCGATGGACAGAGGAAGCGTGGGACCCGGGTGAAGGAAAGCTAGGGCGAGGGATGGTTACGCTTGGCCGAACATGAGGGTTATGCGAAACCTGCATTTTTACACCATATCTCATCGCACGCCGCTCAATATCCTTACGCTTCGAACTCACATTCCGCACCACACACCATCGCATCGCGCCTTGATCGCTCTAGAGTCAACGGCTACGCCCTGCCTACACGTATTCTATATTATGCCTAGTTTTAGTCTGCTGCTAGGATTGTCAAAGTGTGCACAGTTTAGTAGGCACGCTCAACTCTGGTTGTGGGAAGCACGCCATTCATCACAGGTCTTCTTCCAAGCGACACAACTTTGTTGCAAACTGGTTTCGCGAGTGAAAGGGTTTCGCAGCCAAACCGAACCTCTTCCGAACCTAGTTTTTTGGCGTTGACTTCCATTGAGTAATTCAGGTCTTGGGCTTTAAGCTTCCCTGAATGCCATTCCTTCTAACCATAGTCAGCAGTTCAATCTGATCTCGAGGATAAGCTTGCTAAGCCGAAATCCATGGCGGTCGCGATATTGTTACGAACCATTAATGGTTCTCACTCGTATCCTTAGTCTTCGCCAATACGGAAGTTACTAATTGTTGCAATTCATGGCTGACACGAACCAGTAACCTTTGAACCTTCGTCGTAGTCATCGTTAAGAAGTAAACCGAGCTTTACGTCTGTTTATCGGACAGAGACATTCGAAGCTTAGAAATTGTAGTCATTCGGAGCAGTTTCATTTCCGCCATCCAGCAATTACTCTCTTGACTGCAGTTCTGATTTCAAATAATTCCAGTTTTCAGAACAACTTAGTTCAAGTATTGTAGACATCTGACGAGAGGGGGTTTGCCGAGATCGCTTCGTAAATCTTCTTCTGATCCCCATACGCTCCTTTAAGTACCGAGGCGACGCCGCTCTCCACCAGCGAGAACGTTTCGATTTGGTGATGACCGAGGCCGATATCCTGCCGGCGACAGCTGTTTTACACGGCGGATGATTGTACGAGGTACAGCACTGAGTACTTCGGACTTCGAAAAGCGAGACGTCGCCAACGGTGATTGAGCGGGTGTCTCCTGACGGTGACGAACGACACAGCCACTTCCAACAACGGTTAGCGACTGCCGCTTATGAAGGTGGCGATCAAAAAGACGATTACTGACGCTGACGACCGAACCGACGATTTATGACGGTGACGATCGAGATGGTGACTTCTAACGGTGACGATTGAAGTGACGCGTTCCAACGGTAATGAGCAGGGCGGCGATTTTTAAACATTGACAATTGAAGCTACTCTTTCCGAAAATGACGACTAGGATTGCGATACCTCAAAGTAACTATCGAATCGACGCTTCCCGATGGAGACGATTGAAGTGACGTTTTCCGTCGGTGAAGATGAGGATTGATCAGGAATTCTTACGGTGACGATCAACGCGACGCTTTCCGATGGTGACGATCGAGATGGTAACTTATCGCGGTGACGACTGAAGCGACACTTACCGACGCTGACTATCGAGATGGTAATTTCGCACGGTGACGATTTAAACGGTGGCCGTAACAGAGGCAAATGCGAGGGTGGTCGAAATGACACCAACAGCAACGAGTGACTCTCATTCAGAGATGCAATACAAGCAGCAGAATGGATACTGCTGCTGACTGGGACGATGACTGCCTCGCTGCTTCAAGCTCTCCAATACGGCTAAGTCCCCTCTCACTTTGCCCTTGTCATCATTACCGCTTCTGCTTCGCCCTTGTCCTCTTTGTACCGCGCTTATTCCTCACAGCATGTTTGAAAAAACAAAAGTTGAGTGAGAGATGAGCGGCGTTTGGCGATGGTAGCGCATGGCACTGGGGCGGCTTGAGCTCATACTAGAGTCGTAGGGGGTTAGAGTAGAATGCATTCATAATCATGCTGCGTCCTTTCCTTATTTGCCTGCTAGCTCGGCGCCCTAGTGCTGTGTGCTACCATCGCCTCTCTGTTTCAACTCCATCCTTCCACATGATTTTCACTTCACTACTGTCTCCAGTTTTCCCTGCCTTGTTGGTTTGGCGCTTGCAATTCCTGTTCCACTGTTGCCTTCCGTCTGTGGACTTTCTTCCTGCATCCCGTGTCCTTATCCCTATCCTCAACTCTATCACTTGTTCCAGGCCAATGGAGTGTGAGCAGCAAGGGGCAGCAGAGGCAGCCACTGGAAAGGGTACTGCTGAGATGGGTGTTGCTGCGAGGGGTGCTGCTGCAAGTGCGACCACTGGGGGCAACAGCGCCTTGCACCCATCTTCTCCACCCGACTGTTGCCCTCCCGCCGCCCCTCTTTCCTCCTCCAGCTGCTCCCGCGTTCTCACCAAGGGACCCTCCCCAGGTGATAGCTCCCCAAGCTTACACTTCAAGAGCGAATTTCCACTCGGCAGTTTGCTCTCTCGTTTCTCACTCATGCGTTTGTCCAGGAAAAAACTGTTGTTGGCGCTTTTTACCTTTCTTTTGCGGACTCACTTTCTTTCCCTGCCTCTTTCACCTGTCTCTCTGTGCTTCCCCTTCTTTCATCCCAACAGCAAGAATGCAGTGGGTGTAGGAGGGTGCGAGTGCTGCTGGTGGCGGTCCTGCTGTCCTGGTGGTGATGGTGATGGCGCATGCAGTGCTTCTGCTCCTGCTGATAGTGCTGGCGCTCCCTCTGATGCCATCAGTCTGATGCCACTGGTCATGCAACCCCGGCTGATGGAGCTCTCTGGTGAGCACCTCCCTCTGTCTGGTCTTCCCCCTCTGTTGTTCTCCTTCCGTCATCTTGTTCTCGGCTTCCCTAGTCTCCGGTCCTGAAGTTCTTCTCTTGTCCCGCTCCTCTTCTCCTCGCCGTAGCCTGATTTTCACCTTTATTCAATCGCCCTCCTTCCTTGTTGCTTTCCTTGTTCATCTCCTGTGAGAGGGAGCAGAGGAGGACGCAGAGGGAGCAGAGGAGGACGCAGAGGGAGCAAACAAGTGGGAGCGGAGATAAAGGAGCACATATGTGAGAGGGAACGTCTGTGATGTGGTGAGTCTCCTCTGCCAGATCCTTCTCCCTCGCATTCGCTGTGGCCTGCTCCTTTGATCCTCCACACATCGCTGTGTGTTACTGCTCTGCCTCACTCTCACCGTCCTGTCTATCTCATCCTTTGCAATTGCCTCATTGCCTCCCACTCACTTTCAGTTGCCTCCTTGCCTCCCACTCTCTTCCCCCGCCCCCTCCTCCCCCCATTCCGTTCTGTATTACTGCACCTTCGCCCTCATCTCATCTTTTTTTTTTCCCTGTCACCACTCTTCCTTTCCCTGTCTCTCTTCCAGCAAGCGAGGACAGCAAGGTGAGACAGCAAAGGGGGAGTCGAAGGGAACACAATGGGCACACGATGTGGTAAGCTCCTCCTGCTGCCCGTCAGTTTAGTCTCCCTTGCCACTCCTTTTCTGTCTTTTCGGTCAAGCGGGAATTCGCATGTTGCATGCTAAGTTCCCCTCGCCTAGCCAGCCCTCTCTCTTACTACTTTGATTTGAACATCATCGCTGCTCCTCCCATACCTTCTTGTCTCCTCCTCCCCTACCTGTCATCCTGCAGTCAAACACAGCATGGCACGGGAGTGGCAGCAGCAGCATTATCAGCAAGGGACAACTAGCAAGGGTGAATCAACTGAGCCTTTTTTCCGCGGTACGTTCCTTGTCCCCTCCTGTCCTGCTTCTCCTCAAAGCTCTATGTGCCATCCACTCTCGCTTCCTTCCCCTCTGCTTCTTCTCGCTGCCTTCTCTCCTCCCATACTCTCCTGCGCCGCCGTCTGACAAGCAGGCACATCAATGGTGGCATGGGAGGGATTACAGGCGAGGTCAAGTCAATCGAGTTTTTCTTATGGTAATGCTGCTCGCTCGGCACTCTTCTTCTCTGCCCCCAATTTCCCTCTGTCGGCCTCTCAGTTGCATCTCCTCTCTGTTACTCATTTCTTGTACCTTCGCTCCTCTACCTTCAGATGCCTTATTTCTCGACTCCTCCTCTCCTCTTTCTTCACATTCTTGATTTCTCGGCTCTTCCTCTTCTCATTCTTCACATGCCTCTTTCCCTGGTATTCCTCCTTAAGGGTCTGATCAGCAGCAGTGGGCGGAGCAGCATTTTGGCAGCAGCATTGGAGCACGAGGGTGCACAAGAATAGCACGTGCTTTGAGGACTTTTCTAGTGGTGAGCTTCTGCAACCACCCCTTTTTCTTCTGCACCACACTTGCCTGGCACTCCAATACCCCTTCCATCCCAGCACTTCCTGTCCATGTCTCGCAGTCCTTTGCCTTCCATCGGCAACATAATTCCGCTGTGACTGATTTTTACAGAAATGGAGCCATAATCTTCAACACTAGCTGACATGCTCGTCTCCTTTGATCTTCTCTTTGTCTCTCATTTGCCCATCGATCTTTCTCTGCTTCGTTTTGTGTGTGTTGTTGACTTGACAGGATTGGACTGTGAGGCAGGGATTGTGTTTGCCTGGTGGAATCAACTGGAGTGGCCAACTGGTGAAGAGCTTATCGTTGTTTCTGAAGGTGAGAAAAAGGCAACCACACAGAGACTGAACGCAGCATATCCTATCATATCATATCACATCCTATCATATATTATATCGTATCATATCATATCATATCATACCATATTGTATCTGTACATTGTGTAGGTATGAAAATCATGTTAATCGTGTACCCCAATTGGAAAACATTCATAAATTCTTATCGTATTTCATTTTATCACATAGAGGAGCTCAACTCTTGTCTGCCTTGCCGCCTCATCTCGTCTGCTTGCAGGACGTGCAAGACGGAAGATGAAGAACAAATATGCTAGAGTAGATAGGTTATCTAGATTAGTAACGCTTTCTGGTATGGTATTCTCCCCCCCACCCTCTCCTCCTTGACCCCCCAAAATCCCAACCCACCCACTCCCCCTTACTCCATCCCATCCCATCCCGTCCCCTCTCCTTTAAGACCCCCCTCCCCCTTCGTAGGCATTTCCCCACATCCTCTCTCTCCCCCTCGCTGTGTTGCCCCTCCCCATTCCTCCCTCTAAGACCCACCTCCCACCAGCCACCCACCTCCCTCTGCTAACCACAGTGCTAACCACAGGGCTAAGCACAGTGCTAACCACAGGGCTAAGCACAGGGCTAAGCACAGGGCTAACCACAGGGCTAACCACAGGGCTAAGCACAGGGCTAACCACAGGGCTAACCACAGGGCTAAGCACAGGGCTAAGCACAGGGCTAAGCACAGGGCTAAGCACAGGGCTAAGCACAGTGCTAACCACAGGGCTAAGCACAGGGCTAAGCACAGGGCTAAGCACAGGGCTAAGCACAGGGCTAACCACAGGGCTAAGCACAGGGCTAAGCACAGGGCTAACCACAGGGCTAAGCACAGGGCTAACCACAGGGCTAACCACAGGGCTAACCACAGGGCTAACTACAGGGCTAACCACAGGGCTAGCCACAGGGCTAACCACGGGGCTAACCACAGGGCTAACCACAGGGCTAACCACAGGGCTAACCACAGGGCTAACCACAGGGCTAAGCACAAGGTTAACCACAGGGCTAACTACAGGGCTAACCACAGGGCTAGCCACAGGGCTAACCATGGGGCTAACCACAGGGCTAACCACAGGGCTAACCACAGGGCTAACCACAGGGCTAACCACAGGGCTAAGCACAGGGCTAACCACAGGGCTAACCACAGGGCTAAGCACAGGGCTAAGCACAGGGCTAAGCACAGGGCTAAGCACAGGGCTAAGCACAGGGCTAACAACAGTGCTAGCCACAGGGCTAAGCACAGGGCTAACCACAGGGCTAAGCACAGGGCTAAGCACAGGGCTAAGCACATGGCTAAGCACAGGGCTAACCACAGGGCTAAGCACAGGGCTAAGCACAGGGCTAACCGCAGGGCTAACCATAGGGCTAACTACAGGGCTAACCGCAGGGTCAATCGCAGGGGTAATCGCAGGGGTAACTGCAGGGCTCATCACAGGGTTAATTGCAGGGGTAATTGCAGGGTTAACGACAGGGCTCGTCACAGGGCTAACCACAGGGCTAACCGCAGGGGTAACCACTGGGCTAATCAGAGCTTGTGCCTAGTGCGTGGCATACCGTAATCACCCGGACATAACACCCTAGGGTCTTACTTTAAATACAGCAAAAAAATGGGGGGGGGGCTTCTCATAGGAAAAAGCTACATACCACCCGGGTGCATATATATGACATTTTTTTAGTGTAAGGGTTTCTATAAATAGGCAGCTTGGGTGTTTTCAAGGCTGGTTTAGCATCACAGTTGGAAGTGAGATTGTCAGTTTCGATGACAACATTGACTCCTCCTTGAAATTGCGAGGTGGCACCTCTTTGGCCACTTGATAGTGAAAGAACTACCAGCGTGGCAACAGTGAAAAAGTGGGACGGAGGTGACCCCAGCAGATACTTTCGAAATTACCATGTAATTTCGTGCAAAAAGTGATCGCCGCGATGTCCCCCCGTCATTGCACATACTCGTTAACACCTAAAATAAGGCATTCTGTGTAAAAAAGGGGGTGTTATAATAAATCACCCCAAAAGGGGGGGTATAGTACAAACGGGGTCAAATATAACACCCACCCCGCACAAGCCACCCGGGGGGGCTACAATTTCGGCGGGTGGTATGTCCGGGTGATTACGGTAATAGGGCTTGTGCCTCTTGGCACGCTAGTCACATAGATGATGCATGGGATACTCATTCACAAGGCTTCTTACCAGAACACTAACCCAAGCCAAGTTAACATAGTGTCCACAAGGAATGTGAATATGTGCACAAGAGCCACAGGGTGTATGCAGCAGAGTATGCTAACCACAGGGCCAGTGCATTAGGGCAGGCTCCGTACAGGCCTAATCACAGAGGTTACCACAGGGCTCATCACAGGGCCAACCACAGGGCAAACCGCAGGGGTAACAACAGGGCTCAATCAGAGAGCTAGTGCATTGTGGCACGCTAATCACAGGGATGATGCATGGGATACTCATTTACAAGGTTCCTTACTATAACACTAACCACGGGCTTTTAGAATCTGAACATAGTGTCCACAAGGCATGTACACCTGGACACTTAGCTTCAGGGTGTATGCAGCACAGCGGAGCATGCGAACCTAAGGCCAGTGCATTAGGGCAAGTTCCATGCAAGACTTCTGCATCAAAGCAAGTGTGCTACTTACAGGGCTTGTGCATAAGAGCAAGTGTGCTATTCACAAGGATCTATTACTTTTGCATCCAATAATTGTGTGCATCTAATAGTCTGTTTTAATATAATCCACCACAAACACAATTTCTAAGGTTTATTGTTTCATGCCAGTCATTGCTGATGTGGCACAAAGTAAACAAAAATTCAACATGCTTATTCAGGGCTGCAGCTTGCATGCACAAGCTTGAGCTGCACTGCTGTGGTGTCTTTAGGGTCAGCAGGACCCTTGCAAAAACATGATACGGTGCCACATAGCCAAAAAGTTGCTGGATTTGCTTGCCAGTGCCAGACCTTGCTGGAAAAAAATTCCGATATATCTGTAGAGTGAGAAATGCGAAGGTCAGAGACGGATTGTCGTGCACCAAGTGAGGCAGCAGACAAGAGACTCACCACATGGAGGTTGTAGTCGTGGAAAATGCAATATGTGCACATATACATCCCTAAGAGGATTGAAGCTCGTTGGCGGAGAAGCTCCTTCTGAGGCGCGAATTTATAAATTTCTGATGTTGCAATGGTGGTGGCGGCTGTGCTGAAAAGCACACAGTTACGACTGTCACGTTGTCACCAGAGTCTCTCCGAATGGCCTCCTGCACCAGTTCCTGAAGAAAAACCATTCATGTGATTGGAGGAAGAAACCGTCAGTAAAGCCTGAATGCTTAGTGCCAGGGAACCAGAAATGCATAACGAGCCAAAAAGTAAGGCAAGGGAGTTGCAACGCAGCACAGACCTGTGAGCATTGCTGAGGGTTGTTGTGAACACGCAGTCTCTTTCGAGCAAAGGAAACCATCTCATGACTGTGGCGGAACGCATCCCAGAGACCATCACACCCAATCACAAGAAACTCATCCTCCTCCGTCAGCTCTGCCTCACGTAGCTCAGGCTCCGCTATAAGCGGACCCACCACTGTTTCCCCATCTGCTGCCCTGTTCTTCATGCCCTGGGATGCGATAAACAAACCATGCATGGCAATACGAAAAAATACAAAAGTTAGCAGACTGCAATTAAAAAAAGGCAGTATTGAACGTAACATTTCTTCTACAACCTGCTTACCTGCAAATGCCAGTCGCCGAGAGCTCTCGTCACAGCAAGTTGATCGTTTAGATAGTCTTCGACAATAAAGCCGCCTGCCAGGTGCACCCGCTCCCTCTCTAACTGACAGGACGGACGGTGGTCCCTGCTTAGCTCCACTACTTTTCCTCGCCGACACAGCACAGCTCGGCAGTCACCAGCATTTGCGACGTACAGAGCCCTGGAACGACCCATTTTGTAAACCGGTCAGCAACAATGAAAAAAAGAAACTACATTTGGTACAGGAAGCGAACAAAACGGCAAAGCATGAAGATGATGACATACTTTCCCAGAAGCAGAACTGCCAGCGCGGTTGTCCCTGATTCCATTGGCTCGCTGGCCAGAGTATGCGCCATCTCCAGCTCTCGGTCGGTACGCATGAACGCATTGCAGATTGCTTGTCCTACTCGATCTGGGAAAGACGGATCGCTAAGAATGTTCCCTAGCAACTGACTGCTCACGAATTTCGCAGCAGCGTCACCACCATGCCCGTCAAACACCTGAAACGGGAAAAGTCGAGTCGGATGTCAGCCCACCAATGACCCATATGCGACCCAGGGGAAGCGCAACAAAGCAAGGAACACTCACCCCGTAAAAAGATCCCCGTCGCGAGAACGACAAATCACCAAACGACTTCGTCAGGTCATCGACCATAACATGCGCATCTTCCATGTTCTTCCTCGGACCCTGATCAGATCCATGTCCTGACCGAACGACAGGCCACTCCAGTACCGACGTGGAACGCGGAAACAGCTGGTCAGATACTGGCTTCAAACCATGGGCGCGTTCTGCAGAAGCAGACTCCGTGACTTCCTGCAGACGCCAGCCAATGCGCAACGTCTCTCAGACTCAATATCTTCAGCATAAAAGACCAAGATACGTAACGTCTTTTAAATCAACTATGGTAAGATTTTAGTAGGTAACTCACATGTCTGGCTGAAAGTACAACTTCTTCCTCGCTTGGTAGCAGGTTGCATGTGAAGCTACGTCTCATCAACCCGAGAGGGTTGTTGGCAGACTGTTCCTTGACGCTCATAACGGAGCAGCGTGACTGTAACGTGAAGCAAGTCTCTGGTAAGGCACAACCACTGTGACCATTGAAAGGTGTCAAAGGACTTTCGTGAGAGCTTTCGTCCTCCGCTTCAGGAATCATGGTAGTACTGAGCCACGAAAAAGGCGTTAATCCCTGTCCTAACCCTGACACGTCTGCATCCTGGAAACGTCTACCTTCTTCCATGCCTAAAGCACCCCCTGAGGCGATTGCTGCCATAACCCGATAAACCTGGCATACGTGAGTCTCCAGCAAACCCTATCTTCACAGACACAACGGACTAACGAGTTGGCTCTCGAAAGAAGGTACACAACGCGCGAGCGTAAGATGCGGATATTGTTACTACGGAAACTCTCACTTTACGCTATCCTTCACAAACAGGCTACTAGATTCCTTAGCCTAGTAGAGAATTGATTTGTAAATAAAGTACCTGCGACAACGAATTCCTGGTCCAAGGCATTATTTGTGGGTGCTCTAAAGCCTTGAGCTGAGAGGAGGATGCAAGGGTGGGCAAAAAGCGGCTGGCTGATGCTTTGGTGCTCCGTGTGGTGGCTGGTGCAGCTGTGTGCCACATCAGCCGCCAAAAAGCTCCGCTGTCTGCTGAGCGACAGTTGCAACTGCGATGACGTGCGAACGGTTTGTTCGGATCAACCGAGGATTTACGGCCGCAACTGCAGCTGGCGTACGCTCGACTTTGTGGTTTTGCCCGCAGGGCTGGGAGTTCATCAGGCCTACACGGGCTGGAACGCGAAGCGAAGTGATGGGCAGGCTAGTGTTTGCAACGACCCTGGAGAACTTGTGTTGTCACATCACCACCACCACCTGGCACTCGCTGGTTTCCTTCCGCTCATCGCTACCGTCCGTCTGAAAAGGAAACCGTTCTTTGCCATCGATAACGAAGAAGGGGAAAAAGGGGCAGGTTCGTGACGTGGCGGCAGATTTTGTTGGGGAGCCAGCATGGTAGGAGCCATTTGTTTTCGTAAAGATTGCCCGAATGCCGTGTGGCCAATCACAAGACCGAGGTCAGCGCATTTTGACGCTCATCATGATAGGGCTGGGCAAAAGCCAACTTCCCCACCACCACGAGGATTCTCCCGAGAATCGTGGAAGCCCAAAAAGGACAATCGAAAAATCTGCAACTCGGATCTAGAACCATGCTATAATGGTCAGTGTTTACAAGTGATCCTAACGAAACCTATATTTATAAGTAGTCTCGCTGGTTGGATCCACTGATTTGAAAATAATTACGTACATTAATTTGGAGGATACTAGCACAGCACCTCACCACTCTGCATGATTGAGGGCAAGATAACCTGATCGATACCGTCCATTTGTGAGCCTAAGCTCATTGATGAGCCTGTTCCAATTGGAAGCTAGAGCTCCAACAAAAAAATCACATTCTGATGCTATTATCAGGTTAACAAAGCTGGCTGCAGTTACTGCACCGGGGCCTGCTGACTGCTCATATGAATAGAAGAACTTGTTTCCTGTTTGCCTCTGCACCTTGGTGAAGAGGAAGATCCAGTCCTGGAAGCGGGACACTGCTTCATCAACAACAGTCTGCAAACATGGGAGAAGGGTAGGAGGGCAATGAGATGGAGCAACAAGTGAATTACCCACATGCTTGGACTATTAAAGGTGCATGCATGGGTGCTTTTTGCTGGAACACCCAAAGCTGCCGAAAATGCCTACAGAAGAAGGATTGGGAGGGGGTGAACAGATTCCCAAAGCCCCACACATACCTGCATTTCTGTGCTGAGCCACACGTGCTTGAGGTTGGGCACATGCAGGCGCAGGCGATGGCCCAGATATACATACGAGGCCAGAGAGAAGAGCAGCATCTCATGGCCCTTGTCCCCCTGCCGCACATGCATGCTCACTATCGGCCGGAAGATAAACGGCTCCCCCCCGACCCCACCATCCATCATCCCGCCTGCATCACCACCACCTGCATCTGCGGCAGCACTGAAAACACTGTTGGCAGCGTCATCCGAGGCAGTGAGGAGGGCAGTTTGAGTGGCGGCCATGCGGAGGGCGACGCGGTAGCCATAAGTGTCGTGGCGGGCGCGGTTGAGGAGGTGGCAGAGGTAGCGTGAGGGCCAGCGCAGCATGAAGCGCAGCGACTGCGAGCGCCACCACGACACCTGCAGGTAGCGGCCCTCGGCATCGAAGCGCTGCCCCAGCAGCTCCGTTGACACCTGCCGCTGCACCCATGGCGTCCCCCAGTGACTGCCATGGTGTGCAATGCGGTGTCATGTCAGTCAATGACAACAAAGCCAAGTACTGAACTGCCAGAGAGAACAATCTCAGCACAGCCAACAACCAGTGGCAGAGCAAACTGCAGAAGCTGTGCGAATGCGTGCAGAGAGCAGAGGCAGAGGTGGCGAGAACATACAAGGCAGCGGAAGCCTCCTTGGCCATCTTGGCTTGGAAGCGAGTGACTCCGGGGAAGAACACGACGGGCAGGTCTGACTGCAGCAGCTCGTTCAGTGCCGGCCCGGGGTCAGGCGGTGGGACGGGGTGCGAGGGGCCGTGCTCCTGCTGCTGCTGCCACAAGGAGAGCGCTTGCTGCTGGCAGGCGAGGGAGGTGAGCGGGAAGAAGTAGCAGGAGAGGGAGCCGGAGTCCGGCCCTGCACAGCACACGGGCATGGCATGTGGGGTGGGGTGAGCCAGGGCTGTCCGCTATGGCGGCTAGGCAACGAAACAAATGCACATGGAGAATGAGAGCATGCATGGCAGAATTTATGCACTGCGTACACTCTGCAAGGAAACCTGCTAAGAATCCGTATGAGAGGCGAGGCCCCCCTTTTCCCCGTCCCCCCACCCCATTGCCCACACACCTGAGCAGGAGTTGTGTGCGGCATGGGAGAAGGAGCCCGGGGCGGGAACGAGGACGCGGCCGTGGAAGAAGGCGAGGCTGAGCGCGGCGCTCATGATGTGCACCTGCGACCCCAGCCCGTGGCCGCGCGGGTGCTTCCACTCCACCAGCAGGAAGCGCACGGGGGCGGCGGAGGATGAGGAGGGGGAGGAGGGGGAGCAGGAGGGGGGGAACTGATGCAGCCAGAGGTCGGTCTGGGCGATGCGTGTGAGCGCCAGGTTGTCCTCGTCTGCCCCGCGGATCTGATGAAAGAGGGGAAACCGGGAGGGGGTGTGGGGGTGAGGTGAACTGGGGGAGAAAGACGGCAACAGAGACTTCGAGGAGTGGTTGCTGGCGTGACGGGGATAGTGTGTGTACAAGGAGATAGGAGGGAATTGGCACCAAGTGGTATTATGACACCCCTACGCCACCCACCCTCCCTCATTTCCTCCCTCCCTCCCCGCTCACCCATGGCGGAAGGGGCCCCTGCTGCCCCCCTTCCTGCACTTGCGCCCATGCAGGTGCGCTCATTTCCCCCCCTGCGCCTTGCCTACCACCCCTTCTCCACTCCGCCTGCGCGCGCCGCCACGTCACCCTCGCGCAGTCCTCCAGATGCGGCGCGGGCGGCACGCTCACGCGCCCCTCTGCGCCCACTGCCACGTCAGCATCGCCGGGTGCGGCGGTGATGGCGGAGGCTGCAGCAGCGAGGGAGACGGGGAGGCGGACGGCAGGGGGAGGCGCGGTGAGGTTGGCGGAAAGGCCATACGCCGCGTCCCACGCCTGGATAATGGGGGCGGGGGGAGCAGGGGAGTCGCGGAAAGACGGGAGGTGGCGGGGAGAGTACCTGATGGGGACTGGGCCGGGGTGAAGGGGATGGGTAAAGAGTGGTGAGGAAATTGGCCCGAGGGGAGACAGCCGTTTCTGGCTGTTGCCTAGCGAAGCAACACCTCTATGCCCCTCACAGTGCCCCAATTCCCAACCACCCGATTCCTTTCGCATCCCCATTCTTTCCCCCACCATCCGCCACCCTCCCATGGAGGCATTACACCCTCCCCTCCCTTACTCGCTCCCCCCTCGCTTCCGCCATCACCACGGGCGCACATCGAAAAGCAGTTGCGCGTGCTGGTGACGTCCGCTCACGCTCGCTGCGCGCGCATACCGGCCAATGCGATGCTGACACGTGAGAGCCAGCAAAAGAAGTGTAAGACAGTGGAAGAGATTTCTAGTCGACCCTCGACGACGATGAAAGAAGCAGCGCGCGACAGGAACTCTCCGTCGGTTCAGCTGCACTAGGGTGGTAGGCATGGTCAAGCACGGCCATGGCGTCGTGCGAGACGCCATGTCACGGCAGGCGCGGAGAGTTAGACTTTGGACGGCAGGTTCAGAGGAGACGAAGGGCCGAGTCGATGGGACAGACAATGAACGGCGGAAGCACGAAGGTAGACACGCGGGACGACAGCCAGACGTTGAAGATGGTGGAAGGAAGTGTTAAAGCGACGGTGCACATTTGCCACCCAAAACCCAGAACCCTGGCGAACTGTTACTGCGGATGGAAAGTGTCCGCACGAAATCCTGGTTTTCGCCAGCCAGCACTTTCGCGCTGGCAAGCCTGGTTCAAAAAAAAAACTTCTGAACCCAACACTGCCAAAAGTTGCCCGTCGCTTTAAAGCCGCGGTGCAGATATCGCTGCGCCAGTTCAAAGTATTATAGCTTGAAAGGCGCGTTACCCAGTATACACTGGAAGTCTCGGGTTGGCAGAGCTTTCTGAGAGCGGGGGAAGGTCGTGCGGAAAAGTGCCTCGCAGCATGATGAGTGGGGGGGAAGCTGGGGAGGGCTTGCGGAAAAGCACCGCACCACAGCATGAAGAGGTGGCCAGGCATCAAACTTGAAACTTGAAACTTGAACTCAAAACTACTCAAACTCAGCAATCTCTCGCACTAGGCTAGGTTACTACTAACTTGAAGTGCCTTCCCGTAGGGCTTCTTGAGAGCCATTCGCCCCAGATCTATCGCTCTTCTTCGCCTCTTAGTGTGCGCTCGAATATCTGCGCTATTTCGTACCCCAAAAAACACCACCGCGGCTGTACCCGTAGCGCATTGCGCGCGATTTCCTCCGCGGTATTCGTTCTGTAGTCCCTCTCCCGTCCCTCTATTTCTCACGAATCGGCGGTGGCAAGCAGCGACGTGGTGAAGGGAAGTAGTTGGGAGCGACGTGGTGGCAGGCAGGATTGGGTGCGACAGCAGCCAGCGGGGCGACGATACTGAGCATAGCGGCGACGGTAGCGAGCAGCATGGCGACAACAGCGCAATGACGATAGTGAGCTGCGATGGCGACAGTAGCGAGCAGCGGGGCGACGTCTGCGTGCAGCAGGGCGACGTTAGCGAGCAGCGGGATGTCGTTAGCGAGCAGCGGGGCAAAGCATCTGTTCCGACGGTCCCTAAGCATCACGCGTCCAAACCTCGCAAGCGGCTTTAGCGAGCGAGATTGGTAGCGATGCGGCGAAGGCAAGGGGATGTGTGTGGCAAACGCAATGGCGGCAAGAAACTGCAAGCACGATGGCGACAGGGCCGGAATGGGTGAGAAGGACAGGGGGAAAGGGTGGGAAGAACAGCGATCGATGGTCGGAATAGGTGCTACTGTGGCGAGCATCGCCTGAGGTCGATGCACAGCTCGGTCACGAGACGACATGGTCCGGCTAGTTGCGCACGTGACAGCGAGCAGCGGCGCGACAGTGGCGAGCGGTGGCGAGCGTTAGCGAGTGGCGGGCGAGGCGGGAGCGTGCAGCGACATGCTATAGGCCCCTGTCCTTCTTTCCCTTTCCCCCACTCCTTCTATCCCTTCCCCCCTGTCCTTCCTCTCCTCCATGTCCTTCCCACCCTTTCCCCCTGTCATTCTCTCCCTTTCCCCTTAGTCCTTCCCTCCCTTTCATCGTTTTCGTTCCTCCTGATGCTTAATCCTCCCCCCTGTTCTTTCTTCCCTGTCCCCCTATCCTTCCCTCCCCTTCTTCTCCCTCCCTCCTTTCCCCTCTCCCAACCCACTGCTTCGCCCTGCTCTCATCCGTCCCCTTGCCCCCATTCGTCCCTTTTCCCCCACTACCGTCGCTGCTTTTCCTGCTCATTTCCCCCTTTCCTGAACCCTTCCTTTTCCTCTCTCACATCCCTTCCCGTTCCCACAATCCCATCCCACCATTCACTCTTCTGATGGCCATCCCTTTCCCTCCTCTCCTGTCCCTCCCCTGTCCTATCCCATTCCCCCTGTCGCTTTCTCCTTCCCCTGTCCTATCCCATTCCTGTCCTAGTTCAAGCGTGAGAGATTGACCCAAAGCACTATTCACTATTCAGCCCCCCCCCCCCCCGCTGCTCCCCCCTGCACCCATTCGTCCCCTTGTCCCCTCACCCAACCCTCGCTTTTTCGCACTCCCATCCGTCGTTTTCCCCCTTGTTTGTTCCAGGGCATTCCCCCCTGCCACCATCCCCCATGGCACATCCTCCTATGCCACACCTTCAGTTTCACGCCTCCCCATTCCCGAACTCCCCTTGTCCGTCGGTCCCTTGGCGTCTTGCCCTTCCCTGCAGGCAGCAAAGGCGCGACGGTAGCAAGCGGCTCGCTCTCACTGTCTCTCCACCACCAATCCTCCTCTCCCCCACTCCCGCCGTCCCTCCTTTCCCCCGTTACCATTCAAACCTTCCCCCCGTCCCCGCCCCTCCTTCCATCGGTGTCCGTCCCTCCTTCCCCCACCATCCACCCTTTACCCTACCCTTGTCCTTTCAAGGCATCCCCCGATTCCTAAACCCTTCCTTTCCCTTTCTCCCATCCCTTCCCTTTCCCCCTATTCAGTCCCACCATTCACCCCTCTCCCGGCCATCCCTTTCCCCCCTCTCCTGTCCCTCCCCATTCCCCTCATCCGACCCTTCCCTTTCCACTATGACCCCACGGTGGCAGGCGTGACGACATCCAACCCTCTGCTCCACCGCTCCCAACTCCACTGCTTCCCTTCACCCACCCCGCTGCTTCCCTTCACCCACCCAACTACTTCCCTTCACCCACCCCATCACTTTGTGTCGTCGCGCACCCCACTGTTTCTGCCAACCCTCCATTCAATTTCCCCATCAAACATTTTTCACTTCTTCGGCTGGTGTCCACCCCCCTCCCCCCCTGCTATCGGTGGACAGCTGCATCAATAATGGATCAGAGGGGTGTGAAGTCTGGCTCATCTTGGAGATGCCATGTAGGATTTAAAGACACTCATGTTTGCCTGCCATGTGTACATTCGTTGCACCCAAAAAGAAAAGGGAAACAACCACCCCAAACTTTGATCGTTCTGAAATCCTCAAATGTGCCTTTGAGTCGCAGAATATGATATTTTTGTGGTACTCAGCTTATTTTAAATACAAACTCTTTCGTTATGCAATGTAGAGATGACGGCATACTCATGGGTTTCGAATTTCGCGTTGTCGTGTGTGTTCCCCCCTTCCCTCCCCCCACCCCTTCCCCTTCCCCCTCACTTTCGAGGTTGGCGACGTTCGCATCAGTTGTTTCCTTTTTCTCTTCATCGCAACACAATCTACTCTCTCGCTAGCCAATTGGCGACCAGGAAGGAACAAGACAAAAAACTGTTTGTCACTGTTCCTAAGATATCTGCACCGCGGCTTTAACTGGCTGGAACTTCGGCAGACTCGGTACAAGCTCTTTGTCTTGTGTTCGGCATTCACACGAATTCCTGCCTCTTGTTGCTGCCTTTGCCAGATTATCATATACATTGCTCACGGTACATACATAGCTATTATGGTAGCTGGTAGTCTATATTAGAATTCCATGGGGAAGAAATTAAGTTTTAGTAATTTAAATCGTGCCATATAGATAATTTTCTTTTTTTTTCCAGTTTATGGCTCTTGCTTTTATTAAGGAAATATATATGATGGACAATATATATATATATACATTAACCTGACTTTGTAGAGAGATAGTCGTTTCTAAGTGTAGCACATGCAAGGACAATGTTATGTTTGAGCGGCAGGGTAAAAAAGTCATGCTCGTCATTGTCCCGCCAACGTGGTCTCCTATGCTTGGCGGTTCGTCAGGCTCCGTGATTCTGGGTGCCTTGAAACGAGGAAACGTGCAGAACGTGGTTGCTGGTAACACATGGCTCTTTCGCAAAGAAGGTCGTCATCATCGCAGTTTCTGCTAACGAGGGCTGGATCAACATGTGCCGCCATTTGCGATGGCTCGCTCGCACCCCTCACCTCCGACGCGCGGGCGGCTCCGCGGCAATTCCCGAAGCGAACAATTTGAGAGTCGAACATTTCGGGAGCAGTGGCCATGAGTTGCGAGCCTTGGGCCGTGGGCTGTGCCATTCACCCGTTGATTCCTCGCCTCTCCCTTCACCTCACCACTCTTCCCATCCCATCCCATAGCATCGCTTCCACACCACAACCTGCTCTTGTTGTCCCCACCCAGGCCTGGTTGAATTCGTGAAAGCCAGCAACGAGTATACAAGCGGTTATGATGGAAGATTGACCTCTCCCACCAGCAGCAAGGAAGCGCTTGGTAGGCTATGCGGAGGCTCGTTGTTGCAAGTTGTGCTGTTAGCAGGTAGGAAGCATCTTAGAGGTAAAGCGTGACGCACGATATAGCAGGCGTAAATTCTTCTTCTTTGTGGTAGTGGGAGGATCCATGGCGGTAGGTCCAACAAGTCAGTCCCGCAGTAGCTGCTTCACGCTTCGCCTCTTAGGCAAACAGAAATCGACCAGGAGCAAGAGGCAGTCCACCGTGCATCCCGTGGGAGATCTCGCCGCTCACCCAGCGCCCGCCGCGGAACATCCACGTGGCGATGGTAGGAATGGCGCCGCGAGAGCTGGACGTGGACAGGTCGCAGGAGTAGAGATTCATACAGCCACAGCTGCGCCAGCAGTCTCTGTTCCACATAGTCATCGCGCGCAGAATGACCGTCCCGAAACCGACGACGGCCGGCGAGTGCAATACGCGCAGGATCTAGCAGCGGCGCCGCTAGAGCGATCACTAGAGCACGCCGAGCGAAGTCTTGTGGCAGCAGCCGTAGCTGGTGCTGCATCAACTTCGCCATGCGAATCATCGGCAGGAATTTCTGGGCAGCAGGTAGCGGCTGGAATTCGGCTGAAGCTGCATCGAGTGGAAGAGGAGCCGTCCAGTTCAGATGCGCCTGATGCTGTCCCCCAAGGCTCCTCCGCTGAACATTCCAAGTATCTTGTCGCGCGCTCCTCGAGCAGCGAATTCTGCGACGATGCGCGATCCATGCAATCCTCGCGACGGCCGTCGCTCACCGGCGGGCGCAGCTACGAGAAGGCGAGGCGGGAGGGGCAGGAGCTGTACCGGCGGAAGGAGTACGCGGCGGCGGCAGAGAGCTACGGGGAGGCGATGCTGGCGCTGCTGCGCGAGGCGGGGCGCGACGACGCGACGAAGCGGTCGCTGCAGGCCGTGCTCCTCGCCAACCGCGCCATGTGCTTCCGCTACCTGGGCAGGTCCGCCGATACCGCGTAAATGGGTCCTAGAACCGATGAGCTGTTTCATCGCGCGGCGACGAGTCAACGGGTTTCCGTGTAGATGGATCGACAACGCTCTGAACAATAACATCTTGCCCCCTTTTGAATCTTTCCCGGTCGACCTCCTAAAGAGGCTGACCGGAGATCAGGCGCCACGACTTGGATGAGATAAACTCAAATCACAGCATGGATCGTCATCTCGTGGTGTTGCTACCGCCGCGCTAATCTGCTCCCTTTACGGATCGCAGCCGCGTTCCTTGTTTCCCCGTCATACCGCTAAGAGCGCTTTGATCTGTCGCACAAGGCCTTGTCGTCGACTCTTGGCAGCCCACTTGTGCAGATCGCGCTCTTCATCTCTCCCCCAAAATGCCCTTCTTGGCCATGTGATTCCCCCCACCCGTCGCGCAGGAACGAGGAGGCGATACGCGACTGCCACGCGGCACTGGCGTCCGACTTTTGCGCGGGCCAGACGCTGCTGCACATCGAGGAGGTTCTCGAGGAATGCGGCGACCTTCGCGGCGCGCTCGCGTGCCACGTGGCGTCCGTGCAGCGCGCGCTGGATGAGCGGCCGAGCGGCGAGATTCCCACGGAGGAGGCGACAGAGGTGGAGCGCGTGCGACGGCAGCTGATTGGCGAGCGAGAGCTGGCGATTCAGTGGAAGAAAGTTCCCGCCAAGGGCAAACCGCCGCTTGGCGCGCAGATGTCGGCGGTGGAGTGGCGCGGGCAGGTGATTCTGTTCGGCGGCACGGACCGCAGCCACAACCTGCTGCCCAACGACCTCCACATCTTCGATACGTACAAGTCCGAGTGGCTGCTCGTCCACATCCCCGGCCTTCGACCCGCCGCGCGCGCCGGCCACCGCGCCGTGGTCCACGGCGACTGCATGTACGTCTGCGGCGGCGGCCACTCGACGGATTTCGATATGTGGCGGCTCGATCTGGTGACCATGGACTGGGAGCCCGTGCCGGCTGCGCCGGGGCTGCCGGCCGGGTCGACCGACGACGAATCAGAGCAGCGCTCCGACGAGCATCCCGCTAACTTGGCGGGTCAGGAGCTGGCGTCGCGGGGCCAGGCGCCGCCGGGATTGGTGCAGCACAGCGTGTGCGTTGTCGACGGCCGGCTGCTCGTGTGGGGCGGCTTCGTTGTCGGCCGTCCGCCGCTCGAACGGCACGCTAACCGGCAGCATCTGTACGAGTTCGACTTCGAGACGGGCGAATGGCGGCGCGACACGTGGCAGGGGGACTACCTTCCGAAGGCGTATCAGGACCGCGGCGTGGGCACGTGCGCGGGCGTGGCGAGTTGCAGAGAGGGCGGCAGGAGCGAGTCCGTTGAGATCATGTCGTTCTTCGGCAGCCGAAAGACGCTCGTGCCGCGATCCGGGCTCATCATGGACGAGTCGACCGCCACCGTCGATCGCCTCCTGCTGGGCGAGCGCCGATGGCAGCCCGTGCCGCTGCTCGGGCCGCGCGTGCCCGCGGCGCGGTCGGAGGCGGCGTTCCTGTCGCTGCCGGATTACACGGCAACGCTGTGCGTGGGCGGGTACTACGAAGGTAAGGCGCTCTGCGTGGAGCAGAAAAGTACCAAGGAAATGTGTTTGCTCGTGCATGTTCGATGGTGATCCCGGTTGCTCCTTCTCGTGACGTCTTGTAACTTGGTTGAATCCTTCCCACTTACGGCTCATTCGTTCTCTTCCCCATTTCGTCCATGATGTTGCAGGGTGTTTTTGAGATCTCAAAAACACCCTTAGCCCACCAAAGCGCAATTCACCTTTTCGTCCGCTTGCCTATCCGCTGCGTCCCCCGCAGGCGCGATTCACCGCGACGGGTGTCGGTACTACGGCGACGCGTGGCTGTGGCACCACGACCTGGGCATCTGGTCGCCGCTCGCCGCCAAGGGCGACGACTTCCGCGCCGGCGCACACTTCTGGCTCGTGCAGCGCACCGACGGCGCCGTCTTCGCGGGCGGCGGCTTCTGCGGCACGCCCATGTGAGTGAAGCGCGAGGGGGCATGTGAGTGTTGCGCGAGGGGATTGGGGGAGCTGGGGAGATGCGCTGAGTGCACCGCGAGGAACTCGGTAAATGCGTCTTCCCGCTCACAAACAACCCGCCCCCTTTTTCCCCCTCTCCTTCCCCCACTCCCCGCCGCTCCCCGCAGCACGACCATGTTCGGAGCGGTCTACGAGGCCACCATCGTTGCGCCCAAAGTGCGCCGCCCGCCGCCCCCGCGCGCCCCTGCGCGCTCCCTTCCCCTCGCCCACCCCATCCCGCCCGGTTCCCCGCTCCTAGCTCTCCCCGCGCCCCCTTCCGCCGCGCCCATTCTTGCGCTCCCCTGGGGCTCTTCCCCTTCCCCTGGGCGCGGAACTTCCGCCTCCTCTTCCCCCTCCCCCCCGCCGCACTCCTCCCCTCGTCCCCTCTCCGCCTGCTCCTCCTCCTCCTCCCTGCGCACGCCCGGCACGCCGCTCATGCCCATCGTGCGCTCCGCGTCCGCCGCCGCGTTCCGCCAAGGCGCGCGGTCGAGCGCGCACGGGGAAGGGGAGAAGCTGGGCGCGGCGGGGGGAATGGTCGTGATGAGCCGCTGCAACACCCTCCCCGCGCAGTACTCTCCGCCGGGCGGGGGGATGGCGGGGGGAGAGGGCGGCGCGGGCGCGGGCGGAGGCTTCAGCGCGT